GTTAACAAAATATGTAGATCAAGATGTATGCAGTACTGTAGAAAGTCTTAAATATAGTTTTACATTGCAAAAGTGATTTCTTGATAGAACATTTCTAAACATTGATTTATCCACATTTGTTTAAAACGAGATAATTAAGATCATGAAGTCACTGATCATTTGGGTGCTTAACATGTAGACCTAGTAATAAACAGAATATTTAGCATGACATTTTTAATCAGCAAGAATTTTGTTTCTCTTTAAATTTTAAATAGGTTGTTTAAATATGTAGAATTTCACAGGAATTTGCCTTGTTTGTTCTCTTCAAGATAAGTATTTGAAAGTTCCTATTTTTAAAGTTATTTATAAAAAAAAAAAATTACCAAAATTGTGAATAAAAATGCTAAATACATTTTTTTTATTTTTTTTTTATTTGATTTATTTTCATTTAGTAAATTCTTGTTGGTCACAGAAGTATTTTTTTTTTTTTCTGAAAAATGTGCCCAGTATATGAGATTAAGTAAAGCTATTTAAGGGAGATAATTCAGTATTTGATTTGAAACAAATGTTTATGATCCTAAAATGAAAGCTAATTTCTTTTCTTTGGAAGTCTAATTCATAAGAATAAATATGAATTTGCAGGTCTCTTAATGAAACTGTACATTCACATCCATTTTGTAGGCATAATTAGGGTTAACCTCGAGTAGCTCAACCTCATCTACCAGCTGTTCAAACTTTGGCGCACATGACATCTCATAAAAACACTTCCAGGTTACGACAACCATGAAGAACATGAATGCCCATCTGCTGTCGTCCGTTGGTGATGAAACATTCTCTCACGTGGATTTTCATTAGTAATTGTACACAGCATGCTCCGGACACAATGAAGAGCTTGGGGGAGTACCATCACCCACATAGAGACCTGGAGACCTTGCAAACAGAGCCAGAGATATGGTTCACCAAATTATCCCATTGTAACATTCTATTAGACCATTCCCACGTGGATTATAATTAGTTGAACAACTCCTAGCCACACCTTGCGTCTTCGAAAATGTGGTGAGTTCTTTAGAAAGAAATGACTGGCTTCTGTCCGAATTAATATTTGATGGTACTCCAAATAGAAAATATTTGGTAAACGGTCAATAACTGTTTGAGAAGTCAAGTCCTTGCAGGGAAATGCAAACAGAAATCTGATAAATTTGTTGAATACAGTTACCATATACTGATTTTTATTATTTGTTGGTAAGGGGGCCTTTAAAATCAATGCTAAATCTCTCAAAGGGCCACATGGCTTTTGTTACATGACTTTCATCCTTGAAATAAAATCAGGGTTTTATTTCAGAGCATACAGGACAGGTTTTTTTCATTCTTCCATTGAATAAGGAAGATTTTTACTTTGTACAAAATGGGCCATACATGTTATTCCAAGGTAACACAAGGAATCATGAATCTCTGCTAATTTGTTTGGATTAGTTTGATCTAGATAATATATCAGCAGCTTAGTTTTGCTTTGCTGAACGATAAATGATATCATAAAAATAGCAATCTTTTCATATTTTTTTATTTTTCCTGTCCTTTTCCATCCAATGTAAATGTTACAGATTTTTGTTCTGTTATTAGCTGAAAATTTTTTCCCAGCAAATAATGTTGCTACTTATGTAAAGAGTTTATGATAGCATACACCTTTTTTTTTTGATAGATGAATGTTTACGTTCAGTGACTGTTAACGTCCTAGAAAAAAAAGGCTACAGGTCTACCATTTTGGCTGAGCATTGCGGTGATGGCTTCTTCTGAGGCATTAGTTTAAAAAACAAAACGTATATTGTTTTCAATGGTAAAGACCACAGTGTTTACAAGGTCTTGCTTAATATTTTTAAAAGCATCAATAATGGATTGTTCTAGTGAAAATTTTCGAATTAGTATTTTCTTGGAAAATTGGTATACCCACTTAGAGTAATGGGAGAACAAACCGATTGCTTGGCATAAGGAAATTTTGTTAGTTGGAACAAGTAAATTTAGGAGGGGTGCAAACATTCTGCATAAGATTTTATTGTGCCACCTGAAATGGTACAACCCAGAAGGTTAATAGAATTTTGAAAGAATATACTTTTATATCCTGATTGAAGGTTAAATTAAGATGTTTGGCAACTTCCATAAATTTTCATCATGCTCATATTGACTTCAGCCATATATATTGTCAATGTAAGCATAAGTCTCTAATATTATCCCTAATTATTTGGTTAATAACTCTTTGAAAAGCTGTGACCCCATTTGTAACTCTGAAAGGGACCTGGCAGAACTGATAAAATCTATCATTTTCTTCAAAAGCTGTAAAAGGTTTATTTTGTTCTTTTATCTGGATTTGGTGGTAAGCGCTGCACAGATCATCCAAACAAAACACTCAATACTTGGATATTGTTTATATTAAATCTTTGATGTTAGGTAGAAAATAAGCATCTAGCATAGTAAATCTATTAATGGTTTGGGAATAAGTGTTTCTTGTGATTTTGACCACCAGTAATCAATACTTGTGATCTCCATGGAGATAAACCAGGTTGCATAATCTATTCAGTTAATATCCATTTTATTTCAGAGTTAATGAATTTAGTATCAACTTCAGAATATCTCCTTGATTTGATACCTGTAGGCTTCAGAATATCTCCTTGATTTGATACCTGTAGGCTTACAATTGGGAGAGGGTGATTATAAAAAAAACTCTGGATAAAGACCCTTCCGTCAAACTGCATACAAGTGGGTTCTGGTTCCACCAAAAGAAATTTTCACTTTAGAATCTAGACTCAGAATGTTATGTTCGATTATTACATCGTCACATAAGTTATCAAGAATAATTAGTTGTATTTTCTTATATGTATGATTGCCAATGATAACATCTGCTATGTAGTGTCCTGCTACTTTAGACAGTAAATTGGTAGCTGCCATAGAGATAACTCTGTTAGAGGGCAGAGGTTTCCACCTATACCTTTTCACTAGTGAATGACTTACAAAAATCTGGGAGCTTCCAGTATCTAGTAGTGCATTCACTGCTTTGCCATTTATTCTAGCTGGTAGAACAGTTTTCGACAAATTAAGGAGTATGGTTGCCACTGAATACGTAGACACAGAAGACTTTGGTTTAGACCTACAGACTTTTGCATAGTATCCAACCTTACCGCAGGATTTGTATATAGCCTCCCTGGCTGGGTACTTTGTACGGGGATGTTTTACAAACTCGCATAAGAAACACTTAGCCTTTAAAGCGGCTGCAATGGTTTGGTCAGAAGAGGTACTGTTAGTAATAGTATCAGAGGCAGCTGCATTAACGTTTTAGTCAAACTTTGTGTAAGTGTCAGACTCCTTTTTAGCCACCTCCAAGGAACATGCCTGTTCAAATCATATCTCCAAGTCTAAGGTTTTGTTCTCCAATAGACGTTGGCAAATGTAGCTGGAATATATCCCATTAATTTTTGCACTCCTCAACGGTATGAGACCAAAAATTGCAGTCCTAAGTCAAAAGCCTTAGGTTTGTCAGGTACTGATCCAGGCTTTTGTTTAGATCTTGTTTGCAGTTGGAGAGTAAATGTCATGTGCAATTACCTCATTCTTAGGCTAAATGTAGAGCTTTCTGAGTATTTCCACAGCAGTCTTGTAAAATGTTAATTCTTTAAAATGTTTATAAATCACCAGGGATAGAAAGATAATGAATAAATGTAATCTGGTTGTATCTTCAGGGACAATAGCATCAATAAAGTTACTGAATGTTTTAAACCAATGGTGTTGTGTCACTTGCATTAGGGTCCACCTTGAAACAACAGTTTCAGATATCTTTCCATAGTGTATGTTGAATAAATTGTGACCTAAAAAGAAAGTGTCTAACTTTATTCAAAATAGAACATTTGTTAACAGAATTCTTCTATGATAAAGACTATAGCTTTTATAGGTTGTGTTAGGAATAGTAAGCGGAAGTGGTGGTGGTAGTGAAAGTAGAATAGTAGTCACCATGGCAGGCATATTGTAGATCATCTTACAATTAAAAAGGGATTATTTTTCTTTTGTGTATACATTGGGAACAGTATAATTTTAAAAAAAAGAAAAGAGAGTTAAGGCTTACATAAAAGATCAATAGGCCAATCAATCAAACATTTTTTTCATCTCTGTAAAATTTGGCAATATGATAATATATGTGAAAATTAAAATCAGTTTGGAATATAAACTTACAGCTAAAGTAATTAACGCCACACTCACCATACATTTTTTTCCTCTTAAAAATTCCTAATCATCCTTGAACAAGGTGAAGTTGTCAGCTTTTCTTTGATATTCCAAAAGATTACACGATTTAAAGACCTTGAAAAGAATCCACTTAAAAAATACTATTAAAACTTAACTAAAACTTTTCAATTTTTTATATATATATATATACATACATACATACACATATATATATATATATATATATATATATATTTATATATATATATATATATATATATATATATATTTTTAAGGATTTTTGTTTGTTTTTTCCAAATTTTTCTTCATTCTGTCGGATCTATATCCATTTACATTTGCTTACATATATATATATATATGAATTTTAAAGTTCGTATGTTTGCTTTAATTTCTGGTGAAAATAAAGACAAAAATTGTCCAGGATATTTTTTAATTAAGTTGCTCCTAAGCTTTCGGCTCACATGAGCCATCTTCAGACTGGTTATATGGACATTTAAACAAAGATATTCACCATCAAAGATGAGATTCTGTTATGTTGATGTAGAAATTTGCTATGCAACGATAAGTCGCAGAATAGCAGATGCGAGTCGTAAGTTCAAGATGGGGTTCTATGACATCATACCATGCAAGAGACAGAAATATTACAACAGAAACATATGTCTAGATAAATATGAATTTTATGTAGGATTGAATGTGACATTAGACTATAATTTGCTTGATGAAAATAATCACCTACATAGTGCTAAAGGTTAATATAACTATATACAATAACTTCTGTTTTCTTTTTTTTACAGTGTCTGTCACTTGATTTGTACCAAAATGAGGACATACAATGAAGAACTTAAATTTTTGGATAAAGTTACCCAGCGTAGCTGGCGGATCAAAAAAGGATTTGTAGAAAATATGAATGTAAGTAAACATTTTACTGGCATTGTTGTCACTTTTTTTTTTCTTTTTTTTTTAACCTGTAATTGTCTAGTTGATAATCTTTATAAGATCAGAAATAATCTATAATTTGCCACATGAAGCCTTTTCATAATTTTAAAATTTGCCTAACAAATATGTGATTAAACTCCATTTTCCAAGTTAAAAGTACATAGTTAACAATAAAAATTATCATAATTTAAAACTTGAAGTACCTGAAGATTATTATAGATGATTCTTATGTTAAATAAATTTGGTTACTTATGTTCTCTATATTTTGTTAATAACACAGTGTGAAACATCTTTTATCTCCTTTTCCTGTTCTTAACTTAACCTACTATAAAATAATCTGCAATAGTGACTTCCAAGTAGATTGAACATCTAGTAATATTGTGTTGCATCTATCCTGATTTCAGAAAAGAGACTACTTAAGTACCTGAAGATCCACGATCCTTTCAAGAAACTGAAAGATTAGAAACCGCTTCTGTTGTTGTAAACATCAATTTGTTATTTCCTCTTCTCTGTTCTTACTCCTCAATTCTTTACTATACCGACTCTCTAAAAAAATAATGTTCCTTTCTATATTTAATGTCTCCTACAAAAGAAATCCTTACCTTAGAGGCTCTCAGGAATTTCAGTTTCTATATCATCTATAAACATATTTGGTTTTATTCTAATAGTACTAAAAATATCACTGTAATGTAAAGCAAATAATTTTTAACATGAGAAAGTACTGAAAATTCTTGGCCACTTCCCCAAATTAATATTTTGCTGTTTGATTGTTGAAATATTGATTTTGAAGAAATTGGTTGGGTAAAGAACCTTTCAGCCTCCTCTTGTAATTCTACATACTTAGTTCTCTAACAATTTTCATCTTTAAATGAATTTGAAATTTTGTTAAAGTTTACAAAAGCAGTTCACACATATTGATTTTAACCAGTGTGTTGTCAACTTCCTGTTGAATGGAACCTCATGCAGTTCAGTCATCAGTTCTCTGTTAACTCATCCGCCCAAATGCTCACTCACTGACTCATCCATCTCCTCTCTGACTCATTCACTCCTCCATCCATCTCCTCCCTCATTCACTCACTCCTCCATCCATCTCCTCCCTCATTCACTCACTCCTCCATCCATCTCCTCCCTCATTCACTCACTCCTCCATCCATTTCCTCCCTCATTCCTCACCCTCCATCCATTTCCTCCCTCATTCACTCACTCCTCCATCCATCTCCTCCCTCCCTCATTCACTCACTCCTCCATCCATCTCCTCCCTCCCTCCCTCACTCACTCCTCCATCCACACCCTCCCTCACTCACTCATCCATCTACACCCATCTCACCACTCACCCTCATCCATCTATCCCTCCCCACTCCTCATCCATCTACCCCTCACTCACCCCTCATCCATCCATCTACTCCCTCACTCATCCATCTACTCCCTCACTCCCTCACTCATCCATCTACTCCCTCACTCACTCACTCACTCATCCATCTACTCCCTCACTCACTCACTCACTCATCCATCTACTCCCTCACTCACTCCCTCACTCATCCATCTACTCCCTCACTCATCCATCTACTCCCTCACTCATCCATCTACTCCCTCACTCATCCATCTACTCCCTCACTCACTCACTCATCCATCTACTCACTCACTCACTCATCTCCTCTCATATTAATAATTTGGATGTATTTTTAAATTGACAATTGGATTAAAATTAGGTGTTGCTACTATTTGACAGCATTTTCAGATCTACTGACATTTGAGGAAAGAAAGAAGCCATTACATTTGAGGATTCAATATTGTAACATTCATACACATAACCATATTATTAAAAATGTGAGACAAACTTAATGATAAATTTTCAATTTATAACAACATCAATTCACTGTAAGACATTTTATGTTTACCTCATAAATTTTCCAATAAAAAACTTATAAAAGTAGCTATCCCAAACTCCTCTAGTTTACACTATGAAAACATGTCAAAAGAGCAAAATTTCCTTCTATTTCAACTGCTGATATCTCGTTTATTTTTTCAGGCTATTTTGATTAAAATTAGTATGTAAACAAAATTTAAACTCTTCTCTTTGTAAAGATACAATTCTTTCTTATGTATTATTAATCTTTATTCCACACCTCTTTAAATCATATCATTATCTCAATGATTGTTGCTTCTTTTTCTGCATTTTCAAAGCTGAGTTTCATAGTGATGTCTTTAAAATTTGTTGTTTCGAGTTGAATCTCCTTACACAAATCAAAATAGTCCCATCTTAAAGAAAATTGATGCTCACAATTTGCTGGACTTAAGGTTTGAAGTTTCTTTCACAAAAAATTTCTAAGTGGAAAAGTTATTTTAAGTATTTTTCGACACTAGGTTTTATTGGGTTGGTGCATAATTATCAGGCGTTTTTTAAACAATATTTATGATTAAAAAAAAAACCTAACAATTGAACAATAACGTTTCTAAATGATTATTCCGAAGCGTCTGATTATCAACACACATTTTTATAACCTAAAAATAAAATAATATTTATTTAAAAAAGTAAACAAAACAGCAATTTTTATTAACAAATAACTCACCTAAAAAACGCCTGATAATTATGCCCCAACCCAATATTTCAGAGCTTAAAAAGAAATTGTTACATTTTGTTTTTTAAAAAAAATGATTACATTTTATATTTCTTTAACTTTTACAAATATGCATTAATTTTTCATAATTTGTTTATTTCTTTAAGCATAACATCTTTTCAAAGCTGGTATCTGTGCCATTTTTGTTTTTTCTGTATTAGTGCTTTACATGCCAGAGGCCCCTACCTGGGTGTTTTAATAATAAATTTTACATTTAATTTTCAGTTCAATGGATGAGAAGTAGGTTTCTTATAAGTGGGTGAAACTGACTAAAGTCTTTGCACTGTATGCCGATAATTAAAAACTGTGATGAAGAGAATAGATATTTTCATATAATATAACTTTTAATAGAAATTTATCTCCACCTCTAAAGGAACAAAGAAAGGAAGAAAAGATACTCACTGGATCTGAGTATTCAAACAACTCTAGCATTTGTGATGAAGAAGAACCATTTCAAATGACCTTCACTTACAAGTGCCAAGTCAATAGGTTGCAGTATACTTTTATTCCAATTTTTACATTGATCAAATCATTGATATTTCATCTCTATCCAGTGTTGTAATCAAAATTTTAGTTTTAATCAAATTCAAAGGCAGAAATGATTATTTTAAATGAATCGCATTTGTTTGGATGATATTGCACATGTCTTTAGATGGGACTTTGATATTATACCAGCTGAAAGTGCTAATAGGATATGGAATGTTCTATGAATATTGGATATAGCAGAGGCTTATAAACAAATTATCATTAGAAGAGGAAATACAGGAGGACCATTCCAGCTGACCAGAAGGATTTTTTTCATTAGTTCCAATAAATATACTTTTATTCATTTCAATTTTTTTTTGTTTGAAAATAATTGAGTTTAAAGCTTTACAATAAGCATTTGTTTGAAGGTTTTTTTTGTTTTTTTTTTTAGTTGTTGTCCCTTTTTGACAAATTAAAAATTGTATAATTTCATAAAACTTTCCAAAATTAGATACATCTATGATAAAAGGTCTTTATATTATTGAGAAAAGAACTGTTTTGAATTACTCATCCCCAAATTAGTAAAGTTTCAAAGTTTCAGGCTTATGTACCTCCAATGGATACTTTTTTATACCAAGTTCAAGATTGACCTGTTTTTGCACTTCTGGTTATTTTTACATGGTGGAAATATGTTTTTATTGATGTACTAGTGCAAAAAAATTACCTTCATCGCTGTTGTGCTGTGAATCATAGCAAGAAGTTGCAAGACATTAACTGTTGAAATGACACTTATCTTGAACAATCAAAATTGCTTTTCTGAGTCTTAACTATTTTGTTTTTGGGAAAGCAATTTTTCCCAATGTTTAGGTTGGTCAGATTTAATAATTATTGATTCCATTAGCATTATCTTTTACTTCAAGTCTACTTATATGACATTATAATGTATAATGATTTTTACCTAGTCTGATGCTGACTTCTTCAATTTTACACTGTTGAAATTGGCTTCTGGCCCAATAGCACATGAGTTCTAATAAATTTTGAATAGTTATTATTTTGTTGCTAAATGATCTCCCAAGATAAATTTGGTACCAATTTTTTTAATGTTTTCTTAAGCTCTCTATACCTGTATTAAAGGTTTTAAATATATTGAAAATAAAATTTTAGTTTAGGATACCTAATAAAAGTCAAAATTATAATCTATCATTATTTATTTTTAAATCTTTTAAGTCTTTTTTTTTTTCCTTCTTTTTTTCAGGTGGAAGGGTTATTCTATGTGAATGACCATCTTGAAAAACTGATGTTTGATGAACTGAAACAGTCCTGTAACAACCGAGGATTTGGTGGTTTCTTACCTGCCATGAAACAAATTGGCAACGTTGCTGCTCTTCCAGGAATTGTGGTGGTGAGTACAGAGATTGTTAGAAAATGGCTGCTCCAGACATTTGCTAAGTATGACAATTTGGCCACGTTGTTTTGTATATAATATAAAACAATGCAACTTTATATATTTATTGGTCATAAAACTTGATCTTCCTTTAATAATGATCTTCTGATGTTTATGATAAATCAAGGGCATTACAACAGCAAAATATCTTTTTTTTTAAGTAGGGAAGACAGGCTTCTAATATATTTCTGTTAGCTTTCTTAGAGTTTTTTTTTTTTAATCATTTAAAAAGCACAATTATTTTTTACATGCAACAATAGAGTCTATTAATTGTATTGGAAGAAAATCAGGTTTTTCATGCAGAAAATACAAACAATACAGTTGCAAAATTATTTAAATGTTTTTTAGATCATGAAGAAAATTGTGTGTATAAATATGGGGAGATATCTTAAAAAATGCTTGAATTGTGTATAGTTGAATCTCTTGATGTTTGGTATAATGCGCCAAATAATTATTCAGAGTCAGTTTGTCATGTGGAGATTAACTGATTTCTTTCTATGTGTGTATGTGTTTTTTTGTTTTTTTTTTGTTTTGCCTGTGTTAGCTGATAAAAAAAAACAACAGGGTAAAGCTTTATGTTTGGAAAAACTGCTGTTGAAATTCTTAAAGAAATCTTTCAGTAAAACATGTACAAATGTTATTTGCATTTCAAATGTAGTGAAATGTTACTTGAAGTCCAATTATAATCAAACCAAGCTTTTAATAACAAAAAAAAAAATCTGTCTATATTTCTGAGATGAGGTATTGTAACTATTTACACTATTTTCATTGTTTAGACTGTTGTCCTAATCTTTGCCATATTCAGGACGTTTTTGGCACATGGAACAATCTACCCTAGTGGACAGAATAAAGGACAGAGCATACAACAGCTGAAATGTTGAGAATATGGCAACAAAGATGAGGACAACAATCTGAACAATTCAAATAGAGTTAAAAAAAAAAAAAAAAAAAAAAGATGATAATAATAATAAAAAAATTCCTTTAAAAAGTTTGCCATGTAATCAATGACAATTGGTGAGATATCTGAGGTGACTGGTCAGTCATGCTAGCAAAATTAGTAGAAAATCAAAACTGCTTCCAAAAAAGGTGTCTTTTTTGCTCATATAGAATCATAAAAGTAATTAGTTGAATGCATGCCACAATTTGATGGAATAAATTTCTTTCTAAATTTTTAACTGAGAGTTGATTACATAATTGTAGTTATTTTTGGAATCCTCTCAATCTTAAATTGTCATACAAAAACTTGATCCATTGTGTCCATTTATTTCTATTCATAGAATCCATTTATATGTTGATCTCTTTTTAATTGACTGCACTTTCTCTTGTGACTAGGAGTCTATATCACACTTGTAGATAACACATCCATGGTTCATCTGCCAACGCAAACTGATTGATATTAACTGTGGTGTAGGTTTTCTATTTACCAAATGTCATCACTCAGTCTCTAACAAAATAATTTGAATAGAGCAACTTTTTGCTCAAAGTAAATTTTGTGATTTTTAGAAAGTAGTCTTTGATTTTTAATTTAAAAATGAAATCTAAATTTTTATTTGATCATTTCCTCCTGCTTTTTCAAATGATTATAGGATAAACAAATCATGTAACAGCATAATTATCCACCCCACAAAATATTTAATATCTTTAAAAAAAACAAAAAAAAAAACACTAAACTAATTAAGTTTCTTTTTTTTGAGGTTTTCAGATGTTTAGCCATCTTGATACCATTTGTCATAAGAATCACTGAAAAACCCTTTCAGCTAGAAAGAGAACAGTTTAAAATCATTTTGTGTCAGCCCCACTGTCTTCCCAAATGAGCAATGGTGAGAGGAAAAAGATCATTCAGGCCTTCAGTAATGATACCAACATTCATACTCTGGCTTCCATCTTCAAAGTCCATTCAAGAACCATCAAGAGAACTGAATAAGTTTAAAAAAGAGGGAACAGTAGAAAGGAAAACTGTATCAGGAGGTCATAACAGGAAGGTGGATCATCATTTCAACTTAGAGCTAAAGAGATCAATTAGAAAAGATCCAACTCAATCCATAAGACGTTTGGCACATGAGGGAGGAGTTTCAGCTATGACAGTCCAAAGAACGGTGAAAAAAAGACTTGAAAATGAAATTGTATGTGAAACCTGTTAGATACCTTGTTACTCCAGTTCAGGAAGTTAGAAGGTTAGCGAGGATGAAAATCATCTTGAATAAGTTGGAAAATGATCCTGGAATAATATATATATATATATTTGAGCTTTATTTCAATCCTTTATTAGCTTCCGATCCTTAGCTATGATTAATTAATGATGAACATGTCATTTTCATTTATGATCAATTTCATCACGATTACTCTGTTAAGCTTGGAGAGTAACTATGCTTTCTTATTGCTCAAAGTAGAGTCCAAAACCTCAGAGATTTCCGGTAAGATCTCTTTAGTCATTTCTAAGATACAACGGTTCAAAACTTAATCTAACAAATAGACAATTTTGCTTTTACATGGTTTGAACAATTTTGTTGGTACACTTGGTATAGTAATAATTACACTGCACATCTATATAATTTCAGTTTTTATGTTTTAAAATATTCTTGATATATGCATATAAAATAATATTAGTGGAAGTAATATTATCTCAAATCTTTATTAGGTAAATCATTATCATTCATTATTAATTTTTGACTAGTGCTTCTTTTATTGAGTTTTGTTGCATTGTTATTAATGGTCTTAGGATGAGAGTCTGAATAGTTGTGATAAAAAGCAACTGAAATGTTGAAATTAATCTTAATTCAAAATTATTAATGAGATATGCATATGAATTTTTTTTTCAATTCACCCCAAGCAAGGGGATCATGCTACTAAGATGCAAAGGGCTACTGGGAGTGAAACAGAATGAGAAAATTTTTAGAAAACCAGAAACCCAATCCAAAACAGGAAACAAGGGATAAACCTCTACTCCTGTTCAAAAGACAAGGAGGACTGTGAACTGGATGATAGGCAAACTTATCTACTACTATTTGAGAGAATAACTTTTTCTAATTCAAAGAAAAAGTAAAATCATAGAACATGTGACATAAAATACAAAAGAATATAATGAAAAACCTTTGACTCATCCCAATGTTGAGCTAATGCTTCATTCTTTTTCTTCATTTAATTAGACATCACATGTTGTCTTTTATTTTCTAATTAAAGGTACCGTATTTGATGGCATATAAAACACACCCCCAATTTCAGAAGGGCAAATCAAGGAAAAATTAGTGTTAGTAAAATTATTAATAAATAGTACAACCTAGGCTATATTTATGAGGCATTATTTTGATTAAACAAGCCATGATTACAATTAAATGAAAAATAATAGGGAGAGAAAAAATGAACCTATAAAATCTTTATTATAATCAAAGGTAAGAAAATAAAATAAAATAAAAATCAAGCAATTATTACCATTGAGCAAAACAGTACAGTTACCATTAAAATGTTATTCTTCAAATCCATAAAATTTGTTGTCTTCGTTATCAAAACTCTGATAGTCATTTCAGTACTACTATCATTGTCATTAAATAATGCGTCATCTTCCGTTCCATTGAAAGCATCGCTAATGCCACACTTTTTAAAAGATTTCACAACAATTTCTGGTCTAATTTTATCCCAAGCTTGCTTCACCCATTTGCAGACTTATGCAATGATGGGTCTTTTTATTCTTCCTGTAAGTGTAAGGTCGTGATCAGGCATTGCCATCCATGTATTCTATTGTTTTTTCTTTATGTTTTGCTTGAATGGTCTATTCAAAGACACATCCAGAGGTTGCAACTGACTCATTAGTCCACCAGGAATAACTGCTATCTCTGTCTTCAATTCTGCTACTTTCTTTTTAATGGATTTCAGTCCTATGTGCTTGGAACTGATCCCGAACTGGAAGGGAGGGCTTTCATAATAGTCCACCTGGACGTCTTTCCCATATAACTTGTAGCCATAACTGTAGAACAGCTTTGTCCATCCAGCCTTTTGGATGAACATCCATCCACCTTTTGGCATTTTATCTTTCAGTGTAGTTTTTCTTTTAAAAATCGGAAAAGGATGCAGTTTTGTGCCATCAGTGCAACATGCAAGAATGACCATATAATGGATCTTCTCATGGTCTGTGGTTTTTATTGTAATAGTCTTGGATCACTTAATACTCACAGTTTTGTTTGATGGTACATCAAACGTTAGTGGAACTTCATCCATACTTCCTATCTAGCCTAGTTCAAAAGGAGTTCTTTTTATTTATGTATAACAAATGAGTTTGTATAACAAATTTATGAAATTTTACTATTTTGTCATCATAGCTGGAATTCTCTGTGCAATTGAAGTTTTTGTACGCATTGACAAACCTTCCCATTTCATAAAACAATAACACCATCTTTCTGATCCTATAAAATTTTGAATCCCCTTTTCATTTGCTAATCTTCTAGCCTCGTTCCTTATCATCTTCGCAGTAACGATTCTGCCTGTACTCCTCTCATCTACAACCCACGTTTTAATTTCATCTTCAATTTCAGGCCAGTGTGGGGCTGGGTAGCAAAGGTAAGTTTCCTTTCTTTGCTACCCGTAGGTTAATTTCCTGCAACCGCTAGTAACGTATCATTTTTCTGTAGACAAAGGGCCAAAATATTTTGCAGCTGTTCTGTTTCCAAGTTCTTTAGCATAGTTTATTACATGAAGCTTGTACACAACAGTGTAGCTTAACCTTTTTCTTGCTGTTGTCATATCTGAAGGAGTGAAATTCAGTCAAAAATTTTCCTTTATATAATCTGTACAACCTGTGTCTTGTAAATGTCTTAGTGGAATAATTAAGATATAAAAATTCTGATTATATTTATACCAATGCAACCAGAAGTTATCACAAGAAAATATTAATGAAACAAATATATTTTACAAATATATAATTTGAATTTATTGCATATAATTTTAGTGAAACAAAGTACTAATATTAAACATGATGAAATTAATATAATGAATATTATCAATGATAACACTTTTAATCTTCATAATAGCCTTTTAAATAATGACAATAGGTATATGAATGTTACTCTAAAGTCTAAGCTAATAGGAGTTGGCAGGTAACTAAATTCGGCCAACTATTGCAAATTTTAAACCTGCATATGGCATATAAGACACGAGCAATTTTAAAAGATATTTTTAGTTAAAAAAAAAAAAAAAGTGCGCCTTATATGCCAACAAATACAATAAATATCATATAGCATTTGCTACAAATATAATGTAATCACCACTCTGTGAAGACTTCATACATTTATATTCACTTTACCTTGAAACGACTATTAATCATGGTTTGCTTCATGATTTGTTATGTTTGCCTTCTTGTTCCAGACAGGCCCTTGGATGATTGACAAAACAAAGCATTCTTCTTGTTTGGCCTTGTGTCATACTAAGCTTAAGAAATTAATTTCTTGTATTTTTAAAATGAAAGTTTGACTTTTTTTTTCATCTTTTCTGAATGTAGCTTTTACAAAATATTTTTATTTCCTAATTTCTGCATAGAAATCCATTGGTCTTCCTGATGTTCATTCTGGATATGGATTTGCCATTGGTAAGAATATGTTTCTACATTCAACTTAGATTTCCTTTCATAATTTTAAAGTTTATATTTTGTATATAGAAACTTCTTGAAAATGCTTTAATTCACCGGCACTTTTTTCTTTATAACTTTGTTGTATGTCAATAGACTGACAATATTTCTTGCTATACATTCAGATGGGAAAACAAAAGTTGATTATAATCCGGATTAAAAGGCTTTCTTTTAGATTTTGAGTTTATAAAATTCCCCATGATAAAAATAACTTATTATTTTCTTTGATATTTTTCCTCTCCAGGAAACATGGCTGCCTTTGACATGGATGACCCAAAAGCTGTTGTGTCACCTGGTGGTGTAGGATTTGATATCAACTGTGGAGTTCGCCTCCTGCGTACTAACCTCGATGAGAAAGATGTCACACCAATTAAGGAACAGCTCTGTCAGTGCTTGTTCAACCACATTCCAGTTGGTGTTGGTTCAAAGGGTATCATTCCCATGAATGCTCAGTAAGTCTTCTACAAGAGTAACTTGCGTATCTGCAATATTTGCTTCCAGACATTCACACCCTAGCCATTTTGCGTATTCATATTATTCTTGTTTTGCCTTATTACTGTTAATTTGCTTAGTATATATTGTTTGTTTGCTTGCTTTGTATTATTTTTTTGCCCTTTTCTTGTTTTTTATTACAAACTTGGTCAATTTACATTTAACAATGGCCACTCACTCTACACTATCAATTACTCTGAATTTTAGAATTTTATTTTTTCCAAATATACTCATACCCTGGGATTATAATTATTTAAAATCATATAGTCCTTTGTTTTGTTTTTTTTTTTTTTGTTTTTTTGTTTTTTTTTTGTTTTGTCACACTTCATGGGGAATTTGGATCTTTGAATGTTATCTGCCCTATTGCTACATGTTTTAACAGAAAACAGTACAATTATAATCATGATTCTCTATTTAAATAATAATTTTAATCACTTGGTAAGTGTGATAATAGCTTATATAAATAATATTATAAGTATTCTTTAATCTTTAGGGCATTGGAGGAAGCCTTGGAAATGGGAATGGACTGGTCTCTCCGTGAAGGTCAGATATTTTTCTATTCTTTTTTTCTTTCTTTTTTTTTTTTTTTTTTTTTTTCATCTTGATCTTGATCTATTTATTCATTTTCCTTTCTTTTTTTTTTCTTTTCTCACTTTTCTCTTTTTGTTTTCTCTATCTATTCTGTCTTACTTTTTCCATTACTATGTAAATGGAGGTACCTTCATGAGATCACTAAAAACAGAGCATAGCAGGATGAAAAAGACGCCAAACTTTATGAAAACAAAATTTTAGCATCTAAATGCTTGTTATTATTGAGAGAAAAGATCAAAGTTTAATTTTTAAAATTTTTCCTTATTTTTAGAACATTCTAAATTTTGATTAAAAAACACCTTTGTATCACTGGAACTAGTAAAATAACATATAAAATTTTAGCATGTTTTTTTCTGTATGACACACATTAATTTGGAAAATCTTGCAAAAATAAATGTTGGATTTTAATGAAACTTTCAGAAACTATTCACAAATGATGGAACTTATCATAAATATGTTTTTTTTTTTTTTTTTTAATTAGTCATGGCAGAAATATTTTTTTTCATATGTATTACCCCCTCCTAACTAATTGTACGAAAACTCTATAATTTCAATTTTGGGAAGATTAGTGATTATATTAGTTAAAAGAACAAGGCTTTGAGGAAACCAAATTTTTTTTTTTTTTTTTTTTTTTAGTTGGACCACCTCTACCTGAAAATCATTTCTGAATTGTAACATACAAAACTCAATAAGACAAAAATATTATTTAATTTCAAAAGCTTTTAATTGCTTTTATTTATTTTAATGAACATGGACAATATTGTCTGAAAGCAAAAATATATTTTGATGAAAAATGAATTTTTAAAACAATTATTTGTTATATCTGAAATATTTTATTATTTTTACATTAAATGTTGTTAATTCTTCTAAAATTAGGGGAAAATTTGTAAAAATTAATGAATGTTGTTATTAAGTAGATATATATTTACAGATTAGAATTTCCAAAGCTTTTTAGAAACTAACAAACAACAGTATATAAAAAAAATATAATTTGTGTCAATAATAACACTGTAAATCAAATCTACAGAAGACCGGAAGTATCATGCGTAATAAATAAAACGTCACATAGATTGAGTTTCTGTCTAGTATTTAATTTAAATACTGAATTTTTAATACAATTATTTGTTATTTCTTTAATTATAATAGATTTTTACATTTAAGTTGTTAAAATATTATAAAATTAGTTAAAAGCCGCATTCAGTTTCATAAATGTCCTTTTGGGATATAGATTTATTTTTGCAAAACACATGTGGAGAAGTTAATTTGATTTTTCAATTTCAACTGAGAAGGGTACCTACAAGTATCAGTATCATCTTATGAAATTTATATGATCTTATTTTTATATTAATCTCAGTTATGACATTTTTCCATAAATGAAATATCAAAATTAATAATAAAATGAATGGAAATATAAATAACACAGTAAAATGTAATAAATGTACATAAAATTATAGTATTTTATGTACCCTTCTGATAAAATTTCATAAGAAAGGTACCTATAAATTAATTAGATACCTTTCTTATAAAATATGAAATATAATCTCACTCTTAAGTCTTATTTTAATTTCTTTATAATATATTTTCCATAAAGCAACGTAAACGTGAAAGCTAAGTACCAAAAAAAATTAGAGCACTGAAAGTTTTCCTTAAAAATAATGAGGTAAATAATTTGTTCACGTAAATGTAAATTTCACTTTTCTCCTTTCGTAGAACAAATTAGCCTCACAGAATCCACCAATATGTCATTCATCACCTGTCAAGCGACATGAAAGTTTATGACCTGCTTTGTTTTATTTTCAAATTACATCTTTTCGGCACAGAATCTAAGTTAAGCTTTGTTAAAATATTTTAAATAAACATTATAATTTCTGATTTTCTTAAAATAAGTTTTGAAAAAATGATAATGGTCAATTTTGCTGACTCAAAAAAAAAAAAAAGATTTTTAACGAAAATTTCGGACGTGCTAGGAACGATTAAAAAATGTAAAAAAATATCCCCAAAATACTTTGATCTTTCTTCTTAATAATAGCATAAACATTTAGACGATAAAATTTTGTTTTTGTCAAGTTTGGCATCTTTTTCATCATGCTATGTTCTTTTTTTAGCGATTTCTTGGAGGTACCTATGTAAATGGTTTCATAACAGCAAAAGGACATAAAATCTCTTTACTAACTGAATATTTATTAAACTAAAAGTTTGATGCACTTACCATACAACTTTTGTAGATGTTATGCCAGTTTGAAATGGTTTTTCTTTCATTTCTTAATGGGAAACTCAATATTTAATGAATCCATACACTAATACTTGGTTTATTTAAATTGGGTGAATGAAAAATAAAGTAACTTTATTCTTTCTGCTAGTTTTTTAGATTTATAATCATAAAGAGTCATAATTGTACCATTCCAAGGGATATCCATTCTTTAGCCTTTTACAGGTGTACATTTCAGCACTTACTTTTAAATAAGACTACTCCTCCTATCTTTCCTTACTGATTACACAATAGAAAAAGGCTGTAGAATGGATCAGCTAAAATGTATAAACAATGAGTTCTTAAAATAATAGTTTTTCTCAGAATTATAGACAATATGATTGCAGTTGTAGTTCTTTTTATAAATGTTTACTAAAGTTTCACAACTACTGCTTATTTTTCCCGTTCTTTAAGGTTACTCATGGGCTGAGGACAAAGAACATTGTGAAGAATATGGTCGTATGTTGCAGGCAGACCCTTCCAAAGTTAGTAGCCGTGCCAAAAAGAGAGGCCTTCCTCAGGTAAATTGCTTATTCCCTAAAAGATTGGCTGACTTTCCACTGACCTTGTTTTCCTGAGAACCTTTCATAAATAAAAACAAAAAATGTAATGAGGTGACATTGGAACTTTTCTAGATTAGAATCTCTGGTGGATATCATGACTGATTCCAATCATGTGAGACTTTAGCAATACTCTTCATGGGGTGAGTTTAGAGGTGGTTCTTTGTTTGTTTTTTTCTGGTTATTGTTCTCTTTGGACACACACATCATTTTCAACTGATATTTGACTTGCCTTAAACTTCTCATACAACTCAAAAGCTTCTGTTTAACCTTATTAAAAAAAAAAAAATTCACAAGTATTTTCAAGGGTTTTAACTACAGATTTGTCAAACTTCACGCAAAATTTGATGCAGGTATATTCAATTTTTTTCTTTTTTCCAGTCTTAAAGATTGCAGACAACAAAGTCTTAAAAAAATAATTAAACCTAGAAAATAGCACAAAGCCTATTGGCTGACTGACTCAGTAGGCTGGTTACAGCACTTGAATTTGTTAACCATTGTAAAGATTGCAGAGCCATTCCATTATAACATTACAAAACTTCATGTAATAATTGAACATAGTACAAAGCCTATTGGCTGACTGACTCAGCAGTTGGACCATCAGTAAATATTAGTTGTATGCACATCACCATTGAACAAAACAACTCTCAAAAGAATAAAGACAATATTGATTGATTTTATTCTTTCTCTTTTCTACTTATTTGAACCCAATTAGAACAATAGCTACATTCTTATCTTCCCAGAAAATAATCTCTACAAACTAAGGAATTAAAATTGGAAAATGTTTAGGAATGTTAACAATAGGAATATTTAACTCTAAAAAAAAAAAAGCATTTTAAATATAGTTTCTTTCATGGAGATAATCAATTTATAAATGTATCATATGAATGAATTTATGTTCTGTTCTTAAACTGCAAAAATGCACCATGAAATTTCCACAGATTCTATGACAGACACTCCAAAAATCAAAGGTTTACTTTTTAAGAGGCAGAAACAAAGTTTGTTACTGTTGCTATTACTACTACTAATAAACAACTGGTTTCATAATTTATCTGTAACGATTATGCAGTGTAAAAGCAACCTTTTGATTTTAAATAAATAATGGTTAAAAAAAAAAAAAATACCTTGAAAATCTCTCAAAATATATTTACTACTTTTGATGCTTTTCAGTTAGGAACTCTTGGAGCAGGCAACCATTATGCAGAAGTCCAGGTGGTTGATGAGATTTTTGATGACTATGCTGCTCGCAAGATGGGAATTGATCACACTGGTCAAGTGTGTGTCATGATCCACAGTGGTAGTCGAGGCATGGGTCACCAAGTGGCTACAGGTATGTCAAAAAATAGGGGATAAAACTTCAAGACTCTTAGAACATTATTATTGTTAACTACAGCTAATTGATTCTTTTGCAAATACTCGTTGAGTAAATACTCTGGGTTCATTTGTCTAAAAGATATTAATGATCCATTTCTGAGAATTTATTTTCTTAACTATCATTTATAAGTTACAGCTGGATGGGGTTCAGGAAAATTTTTAATTTGGTTGTCTTATGATGATTTTGTTCATTCATGTAAACAAAATGTAATGCTATAAAATTTGTCTGTTGCTTAGAATCTAAATATCTGATACATTATATGTAGAATTCTGTCTGTTGCTAATAATTCCCTTAATACTGGACCCTGGACAATATTCACGCACACGAATACATGCCTAGGAATTTGAGTGCTAAAAATTGCTATATTTTCAATCAAAACTTTCAAAATTTGTTGCTTTTTCATTAAATTCATATTCTCTCTAGCTAGAAAAGTTAGTTTATAACAAATAGCCATTTTGAATCATTAAAATATAACTTCATCCAAACAAAACTTCATTGGTCAAAATAAATAAATAGGGATTGAGACAAGGTTGCCAAAGGCAATGTATTTGTTCCATCGCAATAAAAACTGGGATCACATGGAGTCAATAAGGCGTTTTCAATCTGGTCTGCATTGGGCTACACTTGCTGTCATATATATATATATATATATATATATATATATATGTATGCACCAAAAGCTAAAGGGAAGTGGTAATTGATAGGGAACAGTTCTGATGAATAAAAAAGATGTGGCAGAACCTTGATGCATGATTGTATCACTTTGTGAAGTATAAAAGTCTTGCAGCAAATGTCAAGCCATGCAAGCTACCAGTCGAATCATGAAGTCTTCACTTTTGTATTTTCTTCAATTTTCCAATTGGGGTTAGATGTTTTCTGTAAAAATGGCTAAATGTGACCACGATGTTGCACTTGTCTCTTGACAACAAAGAACTGAGGGCAGCAGTAGAGGCTCATCCAGAAACAAACCCTCAAGCATTAAAATCAATGCCGAGGGTAGACCTTACAACAGTCCGAAAACATCTGACCCCCGCCCCCCCCCCTCCCAATTGGCAAAGTGAAGGAAATGCAAAAGTGATTCAACTGATGATCGATAACTTACTGCAGGTTCAGTAAAATCCTACATCTGATATTCTTTGGTGCATAAACAGGTGTGTGTGTGTGTGCGCACTGAAAAGTTCTTCACCTAACCAAGATCTTCCAAAAAGTAATTCTCTTTGGTCAGATTTTGGGAAATATCTCCAGCTGAAGGCTTTTCAGCACCCCCAATCCTCATATAAAGATGTATGGAACACACTAAAAGTAATGTTTTCTGTTTATTTCCATGAAATATATTAAAACCTATACAGGGAGCATAATAATATTGTTGGATATAGAGAAAAAAACCTTTTTCCACACAGCACCATTGGCTCTGCAGTTTTGCCAGCACTTAATAAAACTTCTTCATTTTGTAGATTGATAGATGTATATGACTGCCCAGTATGTAGCTTAATAAATCCATTATACATCACCTAACTGTGCTCACATTCACTGTTTGGTTTCTATAAATATTCAGCTAATATTAATGTATTTCATTGGGTGAATTTTCTTTTTTTTCACATGAATGAATTCATTAACACACTTCTCTTACATATGCACTTTCATGTCAGATGTCATTTTACCAGACTATCAATCAGCTATCTGTAACAAGACAAAAAATATATGTAGGTTATTGATGGGAAAATTTATTCCTCTACTGCCATTGCCAGTATCATCTGCTACTGACAATATTGGTTAAAACAATAAAATAGAGGGTATTTACTTCCAAACTGATCCTTGTGTGTAACTATTTGAAAAATATCAACTTCTTGATTCAGCTACATTGCAACACATCAACCCTAGTTGGGTTATTTAATGTCATATTTTTTATGGGGCACTCAGTTATAATCAAACTCACTACTCAGTCATAATGGTTAACTAGACTAGCCTCATTAATCATTACACCAGACTGCGGTACCATCTTCTTAATTACTATATTACTGTTACTTTCTTCTTTATATGTATCTGTAAAATAAATCTTAAATATGTTGGAGGTTTTATAAATCAGTTTGTGGGTGAATGCTATATGTAATGTTTTTGTTTTTTTTTCTGGAAAGGGATCTTTTCTTTTGATAACAAATATTTTTATATTGATGTTTTTTAAGATGCTTTGGTTGCAATGGAGAAGGCAATGAAAAGAGACAAGATCAATGTAAATGATCGTCAATTGGCTTGTGCCCACATCAATTCTCAGGAAGGTCAAGATTATTTGAAAGGCATGGCTGCTGCTGCTAACTATGCCTGGGTCAATCGCACAAGTATGACTTTCCTCTCACGACAGGTAAGCCTTCTGTGTGCAAATATTAATTACATAACATTGGGGGAGTGTCTGTGTGTTTATATGCAGTGGCATCTCTAGAAAGCATTGAACTTTTAGGAAAACCTGCCGGCCATATTCTTTGGAATTGTCTTAAATATGGTTGCCCAACATTACTAAATTTTTGAGAACAGTATTAATAAAAAAAAAATAGTAGTGTTTGACTTTGAAATGTTACCCAACTTGCTACTTGTAACCCAATCTAACAATCTAGTTTTGAAATCTAAAAAGAGTGTTGGGATTAGTTGCTAAGTATCAAGATTCAAAACATCTAACAATAACAACAACACATCTTTTAAATGAAATATATAAAAGGTTATTTCCTAGAGGAAAATTAAAAGCAGAATGTCAGTTGAAATAACATAGATTCTTTTCAGAAATGTACAATAACAATAAAATGTTCACTTTTCCTTGCAGTGAAGTTTGTTTTATAAAGTAATTAAGTGTTCTTAGGGTGGTGTGAAATGTGTGAGCAGAATTACTTTGATGGTCAGTCTAATGTGTTTGTGAGTTCATAAACAAAGGCTTAGTAGGTGGTTGCTGATTAATCACTTCTTTTGTGTGTGTGAACAAGGTCTTAGCATCTGCTGGCTGTCTCTCTTCCATTATGTGCACATGTTGATCAAAACTGGCTTCCCAAATTGTTTTGAGACCTGAGAATCAGTATGCTTCTATTTTTATATCTGGAAGAGGATTCAAAATCTAATTTCACATAGAGGTGTGAACTTTTTTAATATGAGATTTTCATTAATTATAAAATAATTTCACACTGGCTTGCAAAAATCTTTTTCTCAAATTTGCAGAAGTAATGAAAGAAGTTATTGTTATTTTCTGAATGGTCTGAAAATAACACATGGTAGGTCTGCAACTACATCCACAAGTATTTTGGTGGTATTTGCCCTTGTAATGATTGTTTATCCAACAAACCTTCTGATGGGGAATTTATTAGTTGAAAAATATGTACAGGATTTAATTCCTATAAAAGGACTTGCAGTCACCAAAAACCTTAACACATTTAGCAGACTATAATTAAAAAAGAAACTGCTACCTATATGCCAAGCTAACATATATATAAAGTTAAGTAATGAAAATCTTTGTAATCCATATGGATAATCCCAAGGAGGATGAAATCCAGAGAGCTCAATGTTAAATCAGACCGATTAATTTAATGAAAACAAAAAACTTTAAGGGTCCATTGGTTATAATTTATTTCCCCAGGGAATTTCTTTTTTTCTGGCTCATCAGATCTCACTTCCAAAGGTGAAAAAATGAATTTAAATTTACATATAATTTTTTACAATTTTGAGGGATAGTATTAAGTTTATATATATATATATATATATATATATATATATACACACACACACACAGACAAAGTGGTTTACATCATGATTAGGTTTATTTTCTGATATGAGAATGTAAACAATTTCCAATAAGGAGTAATGTTTTAAAATTTGACCACCAGCATATAATGGCAGGATTTGTTCAGCCTAAGTATCACATCTCACTGATATTTGCTTAATATTTTAATGTCTAATTTTAATTGTTTCATTTCTTTATTAAGGAAGTGAACATGATAAATTGTTATTCTTCTGCATCAACAATTTCCTATCTCCTTCTGTAGAACCAACTCCCAAGAGGATTCTTTCTGATCTCTACGCTTAACCTGTTCAAGCCTAGGGTCAACCCTCGTCTTCCCTCATATATACCCATAAACTGAACCTCTTACTGTGTAACCCTCTACCTAGAGTGGCTTTTTGGCCTTGTACTTGCAAACATCATCGAAAAAGAAATTTAATTTGTTATAACTGATCATGCACCATGGCATTTGAAGTGTTTCATATTTATTAATTCCACATTCTGAATTTTTTATGGATTCATCATGGCTTTCATTCTAATTCCAAATGATAGTTTCTGTTCTGGAAAGTTTTTTTTAATGTTATTTCTGGGAACATTTAGTAGAGAATGCCAGAAGAGATATATAGGCAAAACATCAAAGAAATCTAAAAGTCCACATCTACGAACGAGTCTCTCTTATGTTCATAGATGTGGACTTTATCTGGAACAACCTTTTGAATTCATTCATAACACAGAATTAAGACAGGCTATAACTTTGAAATAAATGATAAGAAAAAAAACATAATTTATGTAGTAAATACTTAGAAGAAATCCTGATAAATATTTACTCATCAATAAACAAACACATTTATTATATCAGCAACTTTTATAAAATCCATACTTAAAGAATCTAAGATTAGTCTACCTACAACCACAACTAGTGTAACCTAAATTCTTTCACTCCCACACAAAACCTCACCCAATCAACATACAGACACTACTAAACAGAGATAAAAATGCCCACTAAACGCACACTATCAACCAAATCCTGCATAGACCAACTGGAATTATGATACACATATACACATGAATGCTACCTGACAAGACAAATACATGAGGTCTATAAGCAACCATAAAAAATGTAAGAAATTTTGATTTATATCTTTAAAAATTAGGTATATTATGTCTAACTCTGACTTTCTGTGGAGTGGGTAGCCATGGTCAAATGCAAAATAACAGAACTGTTCAACAAACATAATTGAAAAAGTTTGCAATAACAAGAAAAAGAACAGGGCAAAAAATAATATGAAGCAAGCAAACAATATATGCAAATTAACAATAATAAGGCAAAGCAACAGTAATATGGTAAAATGTTCACAAATTTAGAATTAGAGTTGACACACAGGAGCAAGTTTGGACAAGCGAATGTAGCATTCTGACTTCAAGACAAGGCAGACTGGGACAGAGTCAGATAAAACCAAGAACCACCCTATTTTATTGGCTGGGGAAAATATCCCAGCATGCATTTGTGTGCTTTTACCTATAAGAGAAGAGAGTAAGAAGTATTTTGCAATCATTCTCATTGGTTGTAAATCAACACTTTCTATTAATAAAAATGTTAAATTTGAAATATCAATATTTAATACTCTTTTTTTTTTCTTTTTTTTTTCTTTTTTTTTTCCTGTTAATAAAAAGAACATCTCCTGTGATTATATTTGCATGGCTGTTTGACTTTTAAAAGAGAAATAAACAACAAATTAGATTTTCATGATAATAGTTGAAAACTTATCAACAATTATTAAACTATTTCTTTTTATTTTCAATTCTAAAAAGCAATTTTTATTTTCAGGCATTTGCCAAGATTTTCAATACGACCCCTGATGATTTAGATATGCATGTCATCTATGATGTGTCTCATAATATTGCCAAAATAGAACAACACTTTGTGGAGGGCAAACAAAAGACACTTCTGGTTCACAGAAAAGGTTCCACAAGGGCATTCCCTCCTCACCACCCACTCATTCCTGTGGATTATCAGGTAAGTCATATTTCCATCAACATTATCATTATCTTATTATTTATTCTCCAACTATGATACATTTTTACATATCACTTGGCTAAAATATTGCCTCCTCCTTTTACCTCCATATAGTAAATAAGAAAGTATAAGAAAGTAAATTTGATGAAGAAAGCCTTCAATTTTTTTTTTCCTTCAAATGCATGCTTACAGGGTTCATATAGGTCCTGGAAACCTTGAAAAGTCCTAAAAAAACGTTGACAGGGCTTGAAAAGTCCTGGAATTTTCTAAATTGGGCTGCTCACACATCCCTTTTCTCAATTCACAAAAGTTAAAATGCCAAATCTCAGAAATCTGGGTTTTTTTTTTCACAAGCTAAAATTGTCCATTAAGAAAAATGATTTTTGTCATCACTAATATTTCTTGATTAGAACGAGTTCATAACCTCATAGTTACTTCTGTATCTTCTCATCTAGGTGACGAGAAGGAAAGGGAGAAAGAATATAAAGGTGTGCCTTCTAGTTGCTACCCTCACTCAATAAGAAAAGAGGAAAAGCAAAGATAAAAGGTGTCAGCAACAAACTCTCCATCAAGGATAAATTAATTCACACTCAATGAATTTGTAGTTGAAAGGAAAATGAATTATTTTACAGTAATAAAATACATTTTAGTAGAATCTCAAAAAATTTATCAGTGTTTTCTAAAATTTGAACAATTGAAGAAATTTTATTCACATGTCAATTTCAAAAGTACAAAGTTCTTTTGATCTCGAATCAGCAATGGGTGAGTGCATGTTGAAAAAAAAATAGATACTTTACATGTCCCATGTCAATGCGTATCTATGCATAAACTACATTTGTCTACTCTAAATTGTTGCCGAAAGTTTGAGAAACAAATTTGACTCAAATAAAATATAAACAGGAAGGCTGATAGAATAAAAAATGTGTCTTAGGATAGAAAATGTATTTTTGAAAAAATAGGAAGAATGTTATTTTTAAAGTTTGCAGCCTAATAATGACCTGTATCTCTTAGCTTTTGTTGTGTGAAAAAAATGATGAAATATATTAAAACTTATTTGGCTTTTATTGCTTGGTTTTATATTACAAGTTCATTCTGGTAACACTGTCCCATTTTTAATTTTGTATTTCTGACATAGACAACTAGAAAAGGTACAACCAAACATGTAAACAACTCGACATTTGGCCAGATGTTATCAAATTTGTGAACTTAATTTAAAAAAAGAACAGGAAAATGACCCCATACCAAGTCCTTCTCTGCAGTTCTGTCAAACATGAATAATGTTTTATTTCCAGTGAAACTGCAGATTTATGTGTATTTCAAAAGACATTGACCTGTTTCTGATATCAGAGCAATAAACCATTGCTTCCGTTCTATGCAGATGATCTTTTTAGCATGATCATGAAATTGTTAAGATTTGCAAAGGAAGAGCACATTAAAAAGATAATTACATTTTCCAAACTGAATGAATTTGTAAGAATTTTGTCAAACCCAAACAAGCATAAAGATGCTGCAAAGATTGAATATTGATTTCTGGCAGATAGGGCTATGCAACATTTATCCAAAAAGGGAAATGTGTCAACAAAAGATCTGTTTGATTGCAGAATTGCAACAGAGACGATGTTCATCACAATCATTGAAAAACCTCTGGCAAAGTCTTAAATACCCTCTTGGAAGGTCACTTGCATGGCTGAATTCTGGATCCATTTGTGAAAAAAAATTGCCACAGAAGACAGTCTAAAAAGATGTCTTTTCCACATGATGGACAGAAAACAAACCAGCAAATCTGCAATCAGTATAAAGAGTTTGAGAAGGAGGCTGCTTGAAATATTGCTTGCAAGAATTTCAGCAAACATGAAGACCATCTGGACACTTTGCTCTACTCTTATTTGTCTAGCAACAAAGAATATCAAAAACTGGAAATTTGATTGCAGGTTGTTGGTATACTCTCATGGACAGGGCTCAGCAGAGAGAGAGAGTTTTCTCAATCAATAAGGAAATTTCCACTGACATGAAACAGCAGACTCTGGTTGCACAGTGCATTATCACAATTTGACCACAATTGAAAATGCTAGGAATGTTCCCTGGTGATTTAAATGATTTTTAAGAAAATTTTTTTTAAAACGTGTTACATCTTTTTCAAACGATAAATGGGGGTGTGAGGAAACAGATGGTCAGAATTAAAAATAGACTTGTTGGTTTGTCTTGATCCAACTAGTCAAGTGTCAGATCTATGCTAAATAGAAAATTAAGCTCAAAGGGTAGATGACATATTAGAATATTTACAAACTTACATATAGAATTATCTGCAGTTTAAATGCAGGTCATAAATGACTGAACACACAAAATTGAAAATAGCAGTCTTTTCTGTGCTTTTGTCTGTTTTCTCTTGTCAGATTACAATCCATATTTGATCTACAACTGAGATATATATAATTTCTATTATTAGTGGAGATTAAACAATGTGTTTTACCATTCAGTCCTCTTTTAGCTGTGCTGTAGCATAGTTGTATACTTACTACTGTCTATTGCACCAAATCAGTGGCACTTTATTCCATGATTGGTAACTCAAGTGCATTGTAGTTACAAAGCAGATCTCCATATTGAGTTATTAAGAGTAGAATGTCTGTTAGTTTCCATTTATACAAGGACACCAGTTGTCCTTAGCACTATAACCAAAAATGTCTGTCTCTCTTGCTTGAAGTTAATAACAAAAAAGTCAATTATTAATCTTTTAAATTATTTTTTTGTAGTTGTGTTGTTGCTTTTATTAACTTAGATGAAATATTTAATATGTAAAGTTTTTTAAATTGCATTTGTAACATTTCAAACAGTATTAATAATCTTAATTTTGTTGGAATGAAACACATGGATAAATTTTCTTTAGAATAGCAGGAGGTGAATTCTTGAATATTTAAAAAAAATATTAAATGACTTTAGTTTATAAATGAGAAAGCAGCAATAATAAAAATGAAAGAAAAGCTAATCAAAAATTAATAATGAAAATGTTTCATTTAAGAAATTCAAACCAAATGTTTTGTATCTACTTTTACAGTCCCAATGTAATTAAATTATTTTATACATTTATTATATTCATTTGTTTGTAAATCTGTCAAAATTCCAATCTTTTCTCTCCTGATCTCTGTTTTAGCTGACTGGTCAACCTGTGTTAATTGGTGGCACTATGGGAACTTGCAGTTATGTACTAACTGGCACCGATCAAGGAATGGAAGATACATTTGGTACAACATGTCATGGAGCAGTAAGTAAATTGTTTAACCTTTTAGTAATAAATGTTGGTAGTTTTGGGGTTTTTTTTTGTTTTTGTTTTTTCATCACTACTTTAAGATATCTCTTAAAATAGTTCCTTAAATCTTTTGAAATTATAACACGTATAGCCAAACAGTGCTTGGAAATAGTTAAATTTTAATAGAAAAAAAAAACAGGTAACATAAAGCAGGAAGATTTTAAAACAAGTTGTCCTTTCCATGGTTATAGTTTACTTTAAATTGTAAATTAAGTAAAGGACTATGTCGCAGATGCTTTATAGTCATTTGTGGGGCATGAAGCAAATCTTTACACTCTTTACTGGAGATGTATTTCTCTGAAGCCATGATATTCTTGAAGAATAATTGTTTCAACAGCTGACTGTAAAACTCTTTACTCTGCATTTGGTTGTGGAAGAGGGTAGTTTAAATTTTACTGCAAATTTTCTCTTCACCACCCTGTAGGAATAAATAAATTACCTATCTCTGTAGAGGATTCTCATGATAGAATTTTGTTATTTTAAACTTGACCAGTAAAATGCTATAATCTATTCATGTTTTAAATTCGTTTTCGTTTGCAAAAAAATGACAGGATCATGTTTCTCAGATGTTTTTACAAAACATTGTCTTTTGATGTTAAACACGAGAATCAAGAATTGTACAAAATAATTAAAATATTTCATCTTGGAATGTAAGAAAATAATTACATAAATTTTACAAAGTTTTCACTTGTAGATAAATTAAAAACACAAAAGGCTTAGTCACATCATGTTGAAACACCATTTCCCCATACAATCACCAAAGTTAAGCAACATCAAACCTGATCAATACCTAGATGGATGATCACTTGGGAATACCAAGTACTGTAAGCTTGGATGTGCAGGTGGTGTTATAGATTCCAACAGCTCATAATTGGAAATTGGAGAGCCAAGTTCCAATTTCAATCAGGTTTGTTATATTCACTCATGTTCCCCTGGGAAAGGTATGATTCCACCTTTTCTCCCCTATCTATCAGTCAGTCAGATGTGTATCACTAAAGCCATTATCATAAAATAAAATTTTGTACACAATATTTAGATTTTGACATTAAATAAGGCATAGAGGTTGATATACCACTAAATAAAATCAAGACGAAAAGAATAGTTTAATTCTATGACTTTTCTATTTTTACAAATCTGAAAATAATGTTCAACATTTTCAATCCTCGTTTGATGCAATATTGCTTTCTTTAGGGTCGAGCTTTATCACGTGCTAAATCTCGTCGTAACTTGGACTACATGGATGTTTTACATGCCTTAGAAGACCAGGGCATTAGTATACGAGTGGCTTCTCCCAAATTAGTCATGGAAGAGGTAAGTAAAATACAATATGAAATGCACTTTTTCTTTCTTGCAGCTTTTTATTATTTGGGAATGAGAGATAAAACATTGTTGTAGCAGTAAGGAGAATTATTGAAGATTAATAATTTATCTGCGGGGGGGGGGGGTATATGAATATAGAAGTATAAAATTAAAGATCTACTTTCTAATCTGTTTCTAATACCAAAGGCTTTACTGCAGAGGTTTCTAATATATATTTGGAAGTAGTTAATCCAGTCCTTTGAGAATCAATCTCTCACTCCTCATGTGTATACTCATGATTATACATTGCATGAGTAGATATTTCGATAGGAAGATTTGTTGGCTAATTCAAACCAGATAAAATTGAAACTAATAAAAAATAAGTGTAAAGAGGATTTTGTTTTTTGTAATATAAGTTCATTCTTTGTTTTTGGTTTGTTTTTTTTTATATATATTATCCAATGCAAAAATATTTATATATTGAATATTAGAATTGGCTGTGTTTCTATGCTGTCATCATCAGCTTTATCTCATATCCCAAGAATTTAATTTCTTTTTTGCTGATTGCTTCCTTTATGATGCCATTTGATCTAGGTTTTCATTTGCACAGGACTTTCTTTTCCTTGCTGCAGCTTTGGCTCTTTTGATTGCAATCTGGTCCTCTGTTAGCAGAGATTTCTTTTTGCAAGGCATACTGCTGTTGTATGTGATAGGCAACAATAAGCTACAGAAGAACTCAAAATTGATCACTGCATTTAAGTATTGCATTAATATTTAAGCTTACCTTTTAAAAATTCAACAATAATTCTTCTTCCACCATTTTAAAGACAATTTGATATAAGTAGGCCCTTACTTTCCATACAAACAATTATTTTTATTTCATGGGTGACTCTTAGATTTTGCAATTAATTTTGATTATTCCCAAGTTATAAAAATTGTTAATGTACAAAAAAAATTTGTTGCAAAAAATATCAACAAAAGCAATCACAGTAATGAAAACTTGGAAATCCAAAATTTCAGGATCCAACCTGGAATGTCTTTAATTTGCTCATGGAGTTGGTCTGATTCCAAAATGGTATGATATGTTGGGCTACAGCTTCTAGGAGTAAAGTTGAAAAAATGTGACACACTGACACTTGCATTTATTTATATAGAAGATGAGATATATAAAGGTTAGAGAGTTGTGGCACCTTCTGTAGCATGTCCGTCATGTGTAGACCTCTTCATCTGCTAGTTCAACCATTGAGATTTCTATGCAATACTCTATTATTTATATAGGAAAGGTAATTCTAAAAGTAATATGCTTATATGATTTTTTTTACATATATTTGTCAAGATATTTGCATTTATGTCTGCTGTACTAGAGGTTATCACTTTGTTAGTGAAATGAACTCATTCATTACTACATTATTGGTCTTGTTCCAAACTAAATACACATAATAGTGTCTTATTCAAAGTTTAGGAATGAAATCACTTTTTTGCTATTAAAATTCATACAACAACCAATTTTACTTTTTCTTTCAGGCGCCAAAATCTTACAAAAATGTCACAGATGTAGTAAACACATGTAAGTATTCTTTTTACAATTATTTCTCATAAAACTGCTTTCAAAAATTCAAATTTCTATGATGTATCAAAGTTGATGCACAATCATCAATTTGTTGTCCTGATTACAGAATTCAGATGTAATATTAATCATTTGATTTTCCTCACATAAATAGATTATAGATTTATGAAGCTTATGAAATATCAATGTTTTCAGATATATTTTAAGTCTATTCTAGTAGTATTAGTAAAGAGTTGCAGGTTTTTTTTTGTTTTTGTTTTTTTTTGCAGCATTGTTGAATACTTAAGATTGATCCTTGTAATCAATTCATTTCAATTTCACTTTAATCATCTTTACCTAATAGAAACAGTTAATTTGAATTAAAAGAAAAACTTCAGCCTGTTACAAATGACTTAATTTCTCTCTCACACACACAGGGTGTGACCCAAATGACCAGAGATCTTAAAGCATGAAGCGACTTCTTCAAAGAAAAGAAAATAGGAAATGCAGTTCTTTATTTGATGTGTTAAATATTTACAAAGACATGAGAAACACTGAGTAATTAGCCAGATGATAAGACCAATCGATCCTTTTAGCACTTCATATCATTATATATGTCCCTGTGTTTTCTTCCTTGTCTGCCTGGACTGGCTTCAACTAAATGTTCTGTAATATTTGGTTATTAACAAAGTTTCTTAAATTAAGAAGTTCCAGAAAATTTGTATTGAGTTTAAGGAAAACCTATTAGCAATTAACCTGGTCATTACATTTGATTTTTTACAATTCAAATATTTTTAATTTTTCTTTCTACATTTTGAGAATAAATAAATAATCTATGCTTTAAAAAAAAAAAAAAGCTTAATCGTAAATTATTTAAAGTTGACTTTTGCATGAAACACAAAATTGTACACAACCAAACTATTATTTAAACTGTTAATTATTTTTTTTTTTTCTTGTCTTGATTTTCAGGCCATGATGCTGGCATCAGTAAAAAGGCAATAAAATTACGTCCAATTGGAGTGATTAAAGGATAAGCTTTTTACAAGAGAGGAAGTGGGGGGGGGATCTTGGGCGGACTGACACAGACACGTCAACACTCTGCTGACTAATCAACTGAAATATTGGTCATGACCTGTGAATATGGACATTTTCTGTTTTGAGTCTTCAAAATCAACTAAAATCTTTTTATCTGCATTTTTTTTTCTTTCCTGAAAATTACTTCAGAAATAAAATCATTTAAAGACTTGATATATAATTATATTTTGTTAAACACCTGCAATCATGTTCTTGGTTAGTAACTGATTTTTAAATTAATACTCAACTTCACTATCAATGTGAAAGATTATAGATTTTAGCAAATATATATATTTCTGGTTAAGTATATATTCTCCAAAAGTAATATTTGTAAAATATTTTAATTTTTTATGTTGGTCAATTTATTTTTTTTTTTTTTTTTTTTTTTTTGCAATATTTGAAATATCTTTGAATATTGAGCTTTGTCATAATTCAGTATTTTATATCAATAGCATGAAATACTGAATCAAGTATTGTCTAAAACCTGCTCTAAGTTGTGTTTTTGTTTTTTGTTTTACTAATATTTGCCCGTGGTTGTGGGGTCTCTCAGCAAAGGGAGACTACTGCACTTCTAGAAACTCCTCCATATTGAAAGACTGGAAAGATGTGCCCTGGTTTCGTTGCAAGTTTCGGGTTTTTACCCATCATACTCACTCCACCATTAATCTAAACCTGTTTCAGAAGATAACCTTGTTTTGATCACAACAGTTAATTTAAACATTTATCCTTTACTCTATGTGTATTCACTTGCTTTTTATTAGGCACATACTCAAGTTGACTGCCAAAAATGTCATTACTGACAACAAATAGTAAGTCATTGCCTTATAAGAACTATTCCTGAAATAAAGATTTTTTTTTTCATATTAATAAAAACAGCTCTTTATGCTTTGTTATTAAATTTAAAGAGAAATACTACATGGTTTGGAATTAAGTTGTTAAAAAAGAAAAAATATCTACAATAAATGTTCACAGTACAAATCTGTAATGATTTTTTGGGGTTTTTTTTTGTTTTTGTTTTTTTTTTTTTAGCAGATTATCTTACAAGACTATTATTACAAACAAGTTTATTATACAAGCTACAATTGTCCTGTAAAATTTCAAAATTATGTTTATATAGTAAATTCAATTTAAAACCCAATAAATTCCCACAAACATTTTTTTTTCCTCTGCTTATAATTAATTTCTCAAAGACATTTGAAAATAAATGAAAAATTTTATTTCTAAGTGATTTTTTTTAAAAAAAAAAAATTTAAAAGCTGTACTTGTGACTGTCTGGTTTTGGTGGTGGAGGTTTAGAATAGGTTTTCATTGGTGGAATTGGTCTTATCTTTCGTCCATTGTAGCCAGTCTTCCGATGCCACCACCCACTCTGGGGCCGAATTCCCAGCCATCGTGATCTCTGTGGTGAACCAATATGTTCCTTGTCGTGATCAATATTGGATACACGACCAACTGTGGCCATGCAGTGCTGGGAAATGCAAATTTCTCTCTTGGAAGGCATGCGCAAAATGCACTTGTCCCCAATTTTGCGAACTAGTTGAGCAGATGTCCCAGCAGCTCGAGCAATTCGACCAAAATCATCCTCATAGATTTCTAGGTTATGTACCATTGTACCAACTGGTAAGGCCCCAACAGGATGTGAATCTCCTTCATAGGCCCTCACTGAAATAGAGAAAGAGACACAATATTATTATAATTACAACATTTATAACGTCAATGTGTGTAACCCTAGCGAGAGTCTCAGTCTCTCTCCTGCTAGTCAAACTCCTTCACCCATGTTTTATTTAACCTGATGAAGCCTTAGGTGAAGCGGGTTGAAATGAGCAAGTTAAAAGCAAAGAGAAAAAAAAAAAAAAAAAAAAACTTTCAGATCAAACAATTGTCTCTTGCTTATAGAAACATATGTACAATTGATTTATGAAGGGCTACATTTATCAAATTCTCGGTACTGTAATCTACTTATGGTTAGTTCATTAGGTTTTTTTTTTTTTTTTTTTTTTAGCGTTTCACCCCAAGCAAGGCGGGAAGCCACTAAGATGCAAGGGGTTACAGAAGATTTGGAGCAAGATCAGATAGGAATGATAGAGGAAAGGATGGATCAAGGCAACTGGAGATGTCAATTGACATTACACTTGAATAATTGGAGATTATAGCTCTCAGGGAAACTGGAATAGAGAAGGGAGTTCCACAGGCAAGATGTGTGAGATATGAAGCTATTGGAGTAGAAGAGACGTCAGTGAAAGGGTGAGAGCGGGATGCCAGCCTTGTAGGGCACTTGAATTCATGAAGTCTGGGTCAGTCCTATTTGCAATAGCTTGGATTGGTCACTGGACTAGTAGTCATCAGTCATCTCACCAATTCAAACAGTTTTGGGCCTGCAAACAAAGTTGGTCACCAAAACCTCTTAAGCTGGGGAAATCATTTTAGTTGGCAAAATTATTTTCAAGCAGTTCCTCACACTGAGTGGTGATGTCAACTGCACTGGCTTTTTTTTTTTTTTTTTGAATTCTGACTGACCCATACTTTCCTACTAGTCTCATGTATATATAAAGAATATGTTCCTTTCAAGTGTCAGATTACAAATCTATTTGCAGACTTGCATAGCAACATGGAAGGGTTTTGATGATCTCATCCTCTTGACACTTATTGTTTGGTTTGACCAAATATATAAGCTAATATACAATCAAGGCAGAAAGAATGAATTAAAAAAAAAAAAAAAAAATACCAATTTTGAATGTTGGCCTCTTTAGGATACTTCTGACATAACAGTAAAATCCAACTTTCTAAGCCTTTCACATCAATTTCTAATTTCCATTCCTTTTGACAACCAGGTGTAGATTCACTCACTTGTAAAATCCACACCAGTAACTATTAAATTCATCCGTAAACATTTGTAATTTACCTGGCATTAGTCAATTACAACAGGAATTCTTTAACTAACCACCATTTTCTGTTAAGTCCAAACCAGTAACTTATTACACATAACTATAAACAAATTTAATACAGGCTGTGGCAGAAAACCCTATCACATAATAGTACAACATTAACTAGATAAAGATGCTATGTCTGAACATTATGTGAGAGGCATTTTTGGCTGCATCCTGTATAAGTATGATTATAGAATACCAGTTTGTAGTGTCAGATTTGACAGGAAAATTTTGAGAATCATTTTTGTTCTCTCAAAGATATGTCCTAATAATATCAGAAAGAACATCACCAAATTTCAGGTAGAAACAGATTGCAGATTTTATTGAATAATGAAAATAAGATATGAATAACAAATTGACAACTCGTATAAACAAACAATCAAAAATAGTAAAAACAAAGGGAAATAACTGTCACCATGAACTGATGGAAAAGAGAAACATGGGTTGGATATTAAAACTGAAGATTGAAATGGCAGAATTAAATAAGAGAGGGAGGAACAAAAACAAAGATAAATACAGGAAGGGTAAAAGAAGCTTTGTATGCTTTGCAAAGTAAAATATCACCAATAGTCAGCCCCATCAGATACTAGTGACATCCCAGAAATAAAGAATGATGAAAAAGTTTGTTGCAAAATGTGAAAAGTGTTGTAATGTATCTCTTTGATTCAGGATGAAGAATTGCAAAAAAGAAAAAACTATTTATCCAGTTAAACAGAAAAATTATCCCAAAACTTCAAATGACAAAGAGTAATTGTACTTTTGAAAAAAAAAAAAAGTCGCAATGCTAACTAAAATATTAAATTTTCTAAAAACATCAAATGTCCTAAGTAGCAATCAGACACGTGACCACACAAGTTTTGAATTAATTTGACAATCACATATTAGTTTAATATTTTTCAACACAAGCAATGTTTAAGCCAGTGTATTATACAAGGATTTAATGCAGATTATCTAAAATACATACAGTACAAGACAAAAAAAAAATAAGTCAATTTTTGTATTTTTACCAAGACAAGTGAGTAACAGAATTGATTGAATGTTTTGGTTTTAATGCTGGTCCATGATTCCCTTGATTTTCGTATAAATTACCAATTCCTGCTGCTGAGAATGCATTCCAAAAGTTGATTTTTTTTTTTTTTTTTTTTTTATCATGTTTAACATTGCCCTTTGTAATCACTAGAGTATTCATTTCTCCAGGTGTACACCAAACACATATTCATACTTCAGATCAAAGAGTTTAGGGGCTCTTATCATTCCACACAACATCTTTCTAATCTGATTTAGTCCAGTGTAAATGATTTTTGCACAAAGCTAACCGTGCACATTGATGTTTGTTTTTTTTATCCCCTCCTATAATACCATAACACCTATACATTACATATTAAAAACAATCCCATACACATTCTACACCTAAATAAATATATATATATATATATATATATATATATATATATATATATATATATATATACATGAACACAGAATAACTTCATATCCGTCTTAACTCCAGTTATAATCCAATATGCAAATACAATACTACAAAGATTCAGACACACAGAAGCAAACTCCATAACACCTATATATATATATATATATATATATATATATATATATATATATATTCATATATATATGAATTTCTACATATAAACACAAACACACGTATACATAAAAAAAAAAAAAAGAGAATAATACAGCATTAACCAATGAATGTTACGTCTACGCTAACATATAAAAATAAGGTCAGAGGGTGGAGGTGAGTGGGTTATTATTACATGTCAAGAAGACTGATGATGTCATTCAACAATACTAGAGAACAATTACTGCAACAAATGTATTATTACCATATCCAAGTATGATTTCGCTATTTGTTGAAGTAGACATAAATTTATCAGAAATGGATTTAAAAAAAAATTGTTTTTAATCTACTCAGGAAGTTTCTTAAAGGGGTCAAAGGTAAAATTAAAAATGTGGAAACAATTATATAAGTTGTAAATTATACTGAATTGATGGTAAAAGTTAAATAAGTGTTGGGTGGACCATTACATACTAATAAAATAATAGCAATATAATTGTAATACATAATTATTTTATATGAAAAATTTTTTAACTATATTTCAAGGTAAAAGGTAGACAATGGTGGTATAGCATTGTTAATTCATTTCTTTAGTTTAACAATTTTTTATTATTAGGAAACTTTATAATATGCAATTTTTCTTGTAAACATAGGGGACATGGATCATGTAAAGATTTACAGGTTCTACTTATTTTTAATATTTTCCATTTGGTACACTCTCCCATTTAACCAAATGGTTAGTACTAAGTTAGGACAAAAGTTTCTCAATTTAATCAATAGACACTTCCCTAGTAATAATCCTCTTAGTAAGATTTTTAATAAAAATACACTTAAATTAAGCTATAGCTGTACAGTTAACCTTGAAAAAATTATCAACACAATAATAAAACTTTACATCAACACTTAAGCCTAAGTAACAATAACCATCCCAAAGCAACAAACAATGATATCAACTTGTGTAATTGTAGAAAGCCTAATGACTGTCCACTACAAAATAGATGTCTAATTCAGTTGTTTACCTAAGGACTAATTCATCTAGAGAAAATCCAACAGATAAAAAATTTTATATAGGTAGTACCAAAAATTCCTTTAAAACTCAGTGGTATCAACTTTCAACAACAGTGTGTATTGTGATAGAACATCCCTTTCTAAATATTTTTGGCACTTAAAAGAAGTTAACAAAACTCCTATGGTAAAATGAATAAATCAATTATCTATCATCACCTGAAGTTATCTACCATTATCTTAGTACCAAAACATGAAAGCTTTTGTGTAGCAATGTAAAATTTATTATAATGAAAACATTACAATTATATATAACACACAACTCTAAAAATTAGATCAGTTGAATCAGCTACCTTGGTTTCAACGTTACAGTATCCTCAGGCGATTTTTACCAATTGATCTCCCAATGCTTTATTTTTAAAAAACTAATGAACGCTATATTATTTTGAAAAAATAAATAAACACATGATGTTGGGTGTAACAGAAAGGAGGAGGAGGAAGAAGAAGAAATTAAAAGCAAGGGTATTATAAACATATCGACTTTAATTGAAGTGTACATTTTATTTTTTGTCCAGCCTCATATGTGCTTAAGAGGAATTTTTTAGTATGTATGCAAGGACTCATGACTTCCAATTTCTGGTTCAAAAAATTCTTTGGGGACGCAAATGTCATACTAAAAAAAATTCCTCTTAAGCACATATGAGCACCTGAAGATTGCAAATCTGCAAGTCATGTTATTGGCATTGGATATTACGTGTATTCCCTAATATATATGTGTGTGTGTGTGTGTGAGGGTAAGATTTTGAATTTTGTGTTTTTGATATTAAAAGTGCTACCAGTGGTGTCTGCTCTTCTGAACTTGTGAACTTTGTATGCTTGTTTTCTAGCATTTAGGATGAAAAGATGTGGCTTGGGAAGAAATCTAAATTCCTCTTCTTCAGGATTTTGTCTTGGAGCCCATAGGATATGCGACCTAGAATACTGAGATGAAGAAGAGAAATACATTGAAAAAAAAAAAAAAAAAAAAATTTAGACTTCTTCACTACCCACATAATTTCATCCTCAATGCTAGAAAACGAGCAAAGTCCACAAGTCCAAAAAAGCTGACACCACCACCACCAACACTTCTACTACCAAAAACACAAAATTCACAATTTTACTCTTCAACACCTGTCTACAAAATTTAATATATATATATATAATGCGTTAAGGGTCAGAGATGAATCAGACCAGGAAACAGTAGTATTAAAAAGTGCTCAATACACATGTGAAAAAATAAAATGAAAGTAAAAACAACATGTAGAGCTTTTAACTTTAAAAATCAGGAGGTCAGTTGAATACATTACCTTGGTTTCAACCTTACAGTATCCACAGGTGATTATTATCAAATGACCTCTTAATGCTTTATTTAAAAAAAAAAAAAAAAAAAGAAAAGCTGATGAAAAAAATAAACAAATGTACGATGTTAGGTGTAATAGAAAAGGGAGGAGGAACATGTGAAGGAGAAAGAAGAGGAAAGAGAAGAAAGGCAAGGGTGTTTATAAATTTATCAGTGTGGGGTTAATTGGAATTTTATATATATATATATATACACACACATAAAATGTGTGCATGTAATTATTCTATCAGTATAGGAGACAAAATGAATGAAAAGAGGAAAACAACTATGCTTAGTTTTAGCTGAGATTGGATCCTAAAAAAAAAAATTTTCTATTTCAAGTATACTAAATGACATAATCTAAGGTCTAAATCCCTACATATTTCAGTTAACCTGTTCAATATTTATGAGAGTCTTAAAATCTAAAAATTTCCTTTCGCAGATGCTATAAGACGTAAGCTAGGTTTTAACACTTAAACTTTTTACTTAACCTGATATTTATAAGCATTCTAAAATTTAAAAAATTTGAGTAACTGTCAAATATATGCTTGTTGCAAAATAAAATCATCACATGTACCTTGATAAAGTTCTTCAGATGACAAAACGTGTTGGCTAAAACTAAGTATAGTATTCCTCTTGTCTTTTCAATTATTTTCCCTCTTCTACAGATAGAATAGTTATATACACACACACACACACATATATCTTATACCTAATGAATTGGGTAACCAACAAAATTCAAGTCACAAATATAGGTATATGTGTAGTTATTAACATATATTTATTTGCTTACCAGTGTAAGAACACCAGCACATCTGCATACAGTCACTAATATCTAGTTATCTCATTTACCTAACCCTATATATATATATATATATATATATTTTTCAATTTAAAAAAAGTTTAATTTACCTAGCAGATTTACCCGTGACAGAATTATATATCCTTACCTGGTATTCTTGGGATGTTTCTCGAAGTTTTGATGATATCACCAGCTTTCATATTCTGGGAAGCCAGGATGTAACGCCTTTTTTCTCCTGTGGCTACCACCGCAATGTCAGCCGTTCGACAGGGGTCGTAGCGTACATAGCAAACCTTCTCTTCCAGAGGAGGGCCTTCCCTTGGACCATCTTTTTTAAAGTCCACCATTCGATAATGATGCTTTGCCCCACCACCAACACCATGTGTCTGGATGCGACCTGTCAAAGAAAAAGAAAAACAATTAAGTTCTTATTATAAATAAAGCAAAGGACATTATCCACAGAACAAAAATTTCTCCAAGTATAATAGAAGATTATAGCTGACTGTGTGCTACCAGGTTATCATCACAAATTATAATTTAATCATCTATTTTATTTAAAGAGTTACCTACTTACAATATATAAACTGTAATTATACTTAATCCTATATTATTTACATTATTTGGACTATTGTCTTCATCTTTGTCGCCATATTTATTATGTTTCGGTCATTGTATGCACCAGCCTTCTTCAGGTGGTTGGAATGTCGAACTGAACCCTTTATTTGTCTCACTGGGGTAGACTGTTCTAGTTCCACGTGCCATGTTTAATGGAGGTCAGTTATCAGTTATCTCCTGTTAATTCCCCTCTCCAAGTTCTCCACTGCCTTAACCGGGAATTGAACTCACACTCTTTGGGTCCTGTCACTGGATCTAACTAACACCTTTATCCACAGTGCCATGTGTCCTTGAGGACAGATACTACTTAATACTATGAGCTCTTAAGAGATTTCAACTGTTAAATCCCTGTAGCCCTAATTGAATTGCTGAAAATTCTGAATATGTGAGGTTTTTGTGGTTGTCTCTTTTTTTTTTTTTTTTTTACTTATGTTCATTTTATACAAGAGCCTCTCAAGGTAGAGGGTTGGTTTGGTTTGTTTTACGACATATCAACCTCAATGGATTATTTAATAGCAACAAATTTTTTTTATTGCTGGTAATATTTTTTTTCAAAAAATGTATTGCTGGTAATAATTTTTTACAAAAAAATATTTCTGACATTAAAACCTATTTTTACACTTTCATACTGTTTGACCCCAGTTTGGCGGTTAACTATCTGCTCGTAGCTGGGATCCTAATAGGTGCTACAATGAAAGTGATACAGTGGCCAATCGCAAATAAAGGAGATAACCCCGGGGACTGCCAGATCTGCTTAAAAGCAGGCATCTTGTAACAATCAAAAAAGGCTACCTGCCAACACACAGGACATTGGCGCCATCACAGCCATGGCGGCTTCTCTCACCACAACCATGACCTTGCCCAAACTTCACTAATCTTACCCAACTCTTCACACACAGAATCCAACAGAGACAAGCTTTGACACTGCTAGGTCCTCGAAGGCAACCACTGTGATTTATAACACCTTGATGTAGTCACCACACAACTCCAGAACTCCCTCATCAACACCAAACTGAGACATTCTGATGATCAGCCTTAACCATGCACATCAGGCCTAGCCTGGCTGTCACCACCATGACCCTGTTTCATTGATACAACTTTCAACCCAAATCCAACTGAAACATTCTGCTTGACCTACTACAGGCCTACCAGCTACACCTAATTCCTTGTCACCTCAGCAACCAATGGACCCCTACAACCCACCACTATAACCTTGATCAACCTTACCAGGCAGTTTGTCTTCAACATCTCAGCATCACACGACTGCCACAATCAACACATACATCAAACCCAACCAATGGCTAAATTCACTCCAGATCTATCCTGTGAACCCAGCCAAAAGTATCTGAGAAATCAGTAAACTCCCGGCACTACCAACCACACCACTATGCTTAATCACTTTCCTGGCAAACAGCAACTGAAAACAACATACTAATGATTTTTGCTGATTTTCTAACTGCAATCGTATCATGTACATTAAATGAATACATGCTGTTTGAAAATCTAATCCTTGTTATTCCTTTCCTTTCACAATCAAACACACATTATAACATACTGTACATCTATATATTAGGGCATCTTCTATAGAGAAGTGATTACTTCTACAGACAAGTTTACTTATGTACAAAGTTCATTGGGTGTCACACTGTTGTGACCCTGTGTTAGGCTAAACTAATCTATAGAGGTACAGATTGAAGGAGATAAATAAAGTGTATGCCTTTCAGTGACATTTCTTTTACTTTTCTTGGTCAAGTAATGGATAAAAGAACCCTTCATCTATATCAACCTTTTAGGTGGTAGCTGAGTAGCTCAACTACTATTCAGGTATTTGAAAATCTATATGCTTTCATTCAGTCTTGTTACTGACAAAGTGATTAAACAAATTTCTCTGGATTCTTTGTAGTTCATTCTTTCAACATAACAAACTTGTTTATTTTTTGCTTTTGTCTTTTCAGTCATTTAGAATTTAATCTTAGAAAAAAAAAAAAATGACACTTTTTTTTTTTTTGCAACATCAACTGATAATTTTATATTAAAACATCTGAAAACTTACCATCATGACCTCTGCCTCCAGATTTTTGTAAAGGAAGTGGCCTCATAGTGTATTTCTTTACATCAATCCCCTTTTTCAAGAATTTCATAACACCAAAGTCTGAAGCACTCGTGTGAAATGGCTGCCTGTAACAATTAAAAAAAAAAAGGTTTATAAAATAATTCTTTATTTAATCAACTGACACCTTTTTATCCAAAATAGGAATTCAGTTGTTCTACTGTTCAAGTTATAATGTGACCCACCATTTTGAGAAAAAACACAATAACCATTTGTCTATTTACACAGGAAGTATCACCAACATATTTCATAACTAGTTTACTGTCAAAAGAATTTATGAAAATACTTAATTTTGCAGTTGCAGTTAACAATTTTGGCCATAAAAAAGAAAAATGGTATTTATTGTTTTGTGTGGCATGGTGCAGAGTCCTGTTGCCAGACATAGGGTCTTCCAGCAGCTACCCAGGGCAGCACTACTTCCTCAAGACACTTGATGTAGGCCTCCATGTTGAGTCTGAGGCCCTGTGGGAAGATGAATGGAGCCATAACATAGCATACTCATGATTACTCGAAATACCATGATGCTAACTGGATATATCATCCAATTCTTTCTCAATCCTCTGCAACCAAACTCTCTGAAATGTTCATATTGGAGCTTCCAGCATGAATGCCAAGCAGTGCAACATGCCATTTCCTAATTTCTGGTAGAGTGAATTATTCATGGTGTTCTTTTTTTTCACAGATGGTGTCCAACTGACCTTACTATACCATGCATGTGAAAAAAAAAAAAAAAAAAAAAAAAAAAATCAAGAACAACACAAATACAAAAAATTAAAAATGATGACAATTTACTCATTGCAAAGAATGTTAAACATAAAATATATATATATATATATATATATATATATATATATATATATATATATATAAATTCCCAAGAGGATAGAATCCAGGTAGTAAGAATATAATATAAAATGCTCAAACACTAATATTCCATGGTTATAATTTATCACATTGGAATCGTAATCACGATCCAAATTCATCAGACCTACAAATTCAAAAAGAAAAATTTGTAGGTCTGATAATTTGGAATGTGATTACGATTCCAATGTAATAAATTATAACCATGGAATATTAGTGTTTGAGCCTTTTGTATTATATATGTGTGTGTGTGTGTATATATAGGAGGGAAAGGGAAGATATTAAAATTATAAAAATATTTGAAACAACTATCATGAAATCTTTATTATTTATCATTTTATAAAGTTTGAATCAATTGATAATTTGCTGAGTTTTTGCCAACCATTCCAAAGAACATAATTTGCCAGCTTCACCAATTTTTGTTTTAGTCAAGGGACCTAGTGTCCATTCTTCATTTAGGATTTCTTCATCAGTCAACATGTAGCTGACAATAAACAATCTCTTGGTTAGCAATGACTTTTTTTTTTAAATTTCAAAAAAGAGAAGGAAGGTTTGGTTCTTGGATTTCTATTTGATGAGGCTTATCTTTGATTGTAGATCACAATTATGAAATTATGAAAGAGAATGAGAAAATAAAAGTAAAAAACAATCAGAAATATTACATAATTTGAGAAAAAAAATTTATAATATCCAGAAAAATCATGTTTATTTAAATTTTCTTGCTCTATATTTCAAATATTTTTATAAAATTATGAATAAAAAATTTGTTTTCATATTTATTTATAAAATGGCAAATAATAAATATTGCATTATAGTTAGTTCACATTTTGAAGGTTTTTATAAATTTTTGAATAAAAAGATTTCTATTCAAATTTATTTCTTTATAAAATAAGTAATACATATCGCATTGTTCACATATTTTTATAATCTCATAAATAAACATTGCCAAGAGGCTCTTGGTAATACACAGTAATAACAGTGTTAACAGAAAAAAAAAATACCCTTTTGAAACACCATTTTTGTTGCAGACTTAAGGGTTAAACTTTGCCTAAATTTTTACTGCAATAATTACCATAAAAAAGAAAACACTTACATATGACTTTTATAATTAGAATCAAGTTCTTGTAAAAGACAATAGAGCAAATAGTCAGCCCATGAACTTTTCAGCAGACCCTCATAGAGCAAATGTCCTGTGGACAATGCAGTGATTTTCATTTCTTAAATAGAAAAAGGTGACTACTGAAGATGAGACATACACCATCTGCTTCAATTCGAATTGATACTGATATTTTCTTTCATTTTACCTGATTAGAAGTTAATAATCAGAAATATTCCATACATAGTGTCTGAATTTCTGGGATGAGGAGATATCATTACTTACATTCAGTTTATTGCCTACAGCTTTGTTTTTATTATCACAACATTTCAGCTGTTGTGTTCTCTGGCCTTCTTCAGGAAATTTTGAACTAAATCCCTTTCTCTACAAGAGTAGATTGTTCTCATTCCACTGTCCATGACTAGGAAGGTCTCATCTTGTTTTATTTAACATTTTCCACCAAGTCATTGAACTCACAACTACTGTCACCAAATTCAGGAATCAATGCTTTAATCTACTATTCTATTGTCCTGTGGTACAATCCTGAGTCTAGAACTTGGAGTCTTTAACCTAATCTGACTGATGCTAACATTGCCGCTGCAGCTGTCATGAGATAGACAATAGAATAAAAACACTTTACCCCTGTGGATTAAATTAAAAAATTCAGTTTGAAATGACCCAAAGTTTACCCAGATCAACAAGCCACTGATGAAGGATGCAAGGTACAAGAGTCGAAACATTATGATGATAACAGGTCAAATGCAAATAATGTAAGTAATTGTAGACAGACTTTATAAATTTGAATCCCCCCCCATTTGTTTTGGTCCCCTTAGGCACCAAATTAAATGGGGGGGGGTATAATATATGAAGACAGAAAAAAATTTGAAAATGTAATAAACAGAGGGGAGTTGGCAAAAATGATAACCTAATAAACAGGTAGGGGGTAAATAAATAGGGTGGTTAGAAAATGATTAAAAACAAATCTCTATGATTATAACATAACTTTGAAAAAATAAAAATAAATATCCCCTGATATCTTCAAGTCAAAAATTAATAAGTAGGGGGGGGGCTAATAAACTCCATGAAGAATTTTATAAAAATAAATAAATATTTAACAAGGAAGGGTACATTTATTTGGCATCTGAGAGTAATTTATCATTACTAGTCGGACCTTTGGAAATTACACTTGGGAAATTAAATACTATAATTCACAGTTTCATAATAAAAAAAAGAATTACAATTTTAAATACTGCCTTATCTATTTGTAAATTTACATACAATTTATTTGAAAACTATTCCTTTATATTCAACACTTGTTTTAAGTTCAAGTTTATATTTTGCATTGAACTAAGAAAAAGCAACAAAATTATGAAGCAGATGTTTATAAAATGAAACCAAAACAAAACTCAATTTTATAGATGAGCTAAGATCAAACCATTGTTTTGTAAGGTTAACTTGTTCTGATTGTCAAGTATATTTGAGCCTTGAACCTTATTGCCATTGTCACTAATTGTTAAATTCACAAACAATGGCTTACCTTCTATAAAATAGAATCTTTTCTTGGCTTCAAAACATTTTTAAAGAATTTAAGAAAAATTATGTTCATTTTAAGTAATTAGTTTAGCTTATATCATGTAAAGTACATATATCATATACAAATCATTTTTTTTTTTTTTTGAAAATTTTTCCACTTTTGTAATATGCAATTAAACCCACTACATGTCCACTAAATACCACCAAAATTATATTGCTTTTATAATAAACAAATTATGTGCACATTATGAATTCTTCATTTAAATAATTACTTATCACAAACAAGTCAACTAATGATTTCTAAGTAAACTGTAAAAACAAAAATACTTACGTCTTAGGAATCAAATGTTGAGCAGCACCCAAAACATTAAGAGCCGTGAACTCTAGTTTAGGATTAGAATGTACGATGTTCTTTACTTGAAAGAGAGAAAGACGGAAAAGAGAAGAAAGTGCCATCTTGGGAAATGGCTGAAAAATATCACACTGAATCTGTAATAGAAAAAAAGAATTCAAGAGTTTAGCTGATGGTTAATAGAAAATAAAACAAATGATGGATAAAGTATTTTCCCCATTTGGGTTCTCCATAAGAATTACCAGCATATTTTATGATATTGATTTCTTTAGTCCTGTATTGCTAGATAAATTTTTTAAAAGATTTGCAATCTTTAAACCCCATTTGAATTTGAACTTTTATACTCTTAAAGCTTAAAAACTCCTTAGTTTTCAAGAATTTCTTATGAAAAAAATTCCCCTTTTTCTAGTTTGCTATTCTTCTTTCTTTATTTAACTCCATTATTTTAACCTTTATTTTCTGCTATGCTTTAGTAATGGACATAAATCGTTAATGGCTAAATACTGGTTGCAACTGTTGTGAATTACCACTACATACATAACACAGAACAGACAGCATGACTGAGGTAGCACTGGAATAGGAAAACCTCAAATACATAAAATTTGGTTTCTTGCATAAGAAATAGATTCTCATCTCCTGACAAGAAGAAATAAGAATTTCTAATAAATACAATCTCAATTTTTAACCAATCAGAGGCTATCCTGCTTCTTTTGGGTAACCGAGACAATCAACCTAATGATCCATCTTGGACACATTTCAATGAGAAATCTTCATTCCTGCAGCTGGATAAACCCACACTAACTTCAATCTCTTACATAATTTCACGAAATTTTCCAAAATAAGATATATTTATTACAAAAATACTGATATTGCAGTGTTTTGTTGAATTCCTCATCCCAAAATTACTACAGTTTCAAATTCTCCAAGGACTAGTGCTTATAACTAATATAAACATTAAGCACTACAAAAATGTATTTCTCAAAATTTCATAAAATTAAATAAGTGGGAGTAACAGAGGTAAAGAAAATATTTTTACCAAAATTCTAAAATCATTTCATTATTAAAAACTTAACAATTATCTAATTTTCGCAAGGAAATTTCCCATCTTAATTTATAGTTAACTTATGACGGAAGGAAAACAAAATTTTTAACCTAATCAAAATTTTGAAAGTTCTTAAAAAGTGTAAAAAAATATAATAATAAAAAAATCCTTTGGTCTTCCTTTTTTTTTTTAATAACAAAGATTTTGACAATAAAACTTAGTTTTCATTGGGCATTTTTTTTTTTTTTCTCAGGATGTATGCTAACTTTTTGGTGAATCTTTGGCAATTTCAACAATTAAAAACAATAATAGATCAAGATTTGGTTAAAGAAACATATTTTTGTAGGAAAATTGAATAATGGACACAAAGTCAGGATCCAATTTGGTATTTACTTCCCTTGTGTTGTAAAAAACTGAATATATTTCAGTGGCAATTTCGCTCAGTCTCATTACAAACTTAAATTTTCTCTAAAATTAAAAAAAAAAGATATTTCAAAGAAATAAGTCATCTTCAGGAAGAGCAGAAGAAACTACTTAAAATTATACACGTTTTTAAAATCATAACCGAAATTTAAAAGAATAAAATGATTTACTTCAGAATTTTTATAGCCATGTTGAAGTGTAAAAAACTTTGTATTAAAAAAATTGCATTGATTTTAAAATGATCTTCAATTTTACACCGTTTAAAATGAAAAAAAAAGACATTTTTTTTTTTTTTAAAATCATGTTTACTACCGTTAGTGTTACACAGAAATTAAAAGTTAAAATAAAAAAGTACTAATAATGGCTTTCAAAATGCGATTTTTTATTGCCTTCTTATTTTTTTAATACCCATGTAATGATTATGAAAGCGTTATTTAAGAATCTCAGAAAGCTGTCTTGGAACTAACTAGCCAGTTACTACCGGCATTCCATAAATCAAATATCATTTTCTTCTACGAACAGAAACTGTAATTAGTTTCTTTCTAGTTATACTGCTTCTCACTTCAATGCGATTCAAATTTACAACCAAGTAAAAACGTCGACCTCACACCAAAAGGTCAACTATTAAAGAAAAAATTGAGATTTTTAAACAAATCCGGACAATCAAAATATAAAGTTGTAATATCCTTATACGGTGAATAATTAATTGGTTTTATAGATTAGAAAAAGTATCAATAAAATACGATATTACCTTTCTTATTTAGAGAAAAGTTTCCACAGCCATATTGCGCAAAGTCAAGAGGACAAACGGTGTTAGATGTAATTTTATCTTACTATTAAAAGTTCCGGTAATTGTGTTATTGTTTTACTTTTTTATGTAATTTTCCGCTCATTTTTTGTAATACCTTATCCATTGATAATGTCTCTCTTCAAATTCCTTTTCTTTATTTTCTGTGCGTTACTATGTTTTCTTGTGAAATATAGGAAAGTGGTTTCTCATTGTTTTTCCACGGTTTGGAATTCAGAAATTTTCTTTCCTTACTGTTTTTTTTTTACCACCCGAGGTTAGAAAGTTTACTTTTTGTTTTTTTTAATTTAACTTAGTTTAACTGTGGGGTTTGCGCTATTATTGTTGTTTAATGTTAAGTTTCGAATTGTATTTTAAAGAAATCTAACAACAAGAATGCATTAGCATTGCACTTAGTAACGGTTGAATAAGAAAAGCTGAGAAACTTTCAGTAATTCTTCGGTCAAATTTAAAATAAAATAAGTTTTGAAAATGACTGAATAATTTACTAATCAAATAATAAAAAGATACTTTTTAAAACCCCTTTTTAGACTGTAGTGTAGTATTTTGAATAGTTGACAAAAATTATCTTTAATCTAACTCTTTCTTACAATGTGCGACTAAATTTATTAGTGAGTAATAATAGTATCGACAATCTCGTTAAAATTGACATGGAATACAAAAAAAGAAAGCTTCAGCTTTAGTAGTAACACAAACAGTGAATAAATGATGTTTTTTAGTTGAAACTACGTTGACGTCATCAGGTTGAAGCTTGTCAATAAGATACTGGTGTAACTGCTGCTTGGTTCTGTGATGTGGAGGCGTTGCCCCTTATTTTGTGGTGTCAGGTTCTGCAGAGGAGCTGGTATGCAAAAAGAAAATCATGTTGCTTTTGCGTTCGGTTGGGATATAATAACTAGTAACAATACTAACAGACTTATTATTAGTTACTTACTTAATGATCAAATGCAAATTTCCTTCATTTTCGATGATAGTGAAAGAAAGACTAATTCAACATTTTCAAAAAGAAATGAATTTCAACACGTGAACGAATTTTACACATATATTTTATTTTTAAAATACTACTGTTGCAAGAGCTTACTTTCTCAGGAGCAGGTTATGGGACTAGTTGCTTTATGGGGCGTAGAAAGTGTTTGGTTGTTGGGGTTGTTAAACAGAACTCATAGTGGCAGCGATTACTAATTATTCCGGGTGCTGTCCGGAATAAAGCAATCTTAACCCAACTTACAATACAATGATGAAACAAGGCAAGTAAATAAAATGAAAAAGAAGATATCAACAAATAATTTAGTTGGATATTTCATATATCGTGTGGTGAATAAGACCCTTGAAAAGAAAGGTAAGTTGACATATACGCATTTAAAAGGGAAAAGATAACATACACACATTTAGGTGTGTTTAATAAAAACACTTTGAAACGGGTAAAGTTACATACAAACATTTAGGTGTGTTTAAACAAACCCCTGAAAATGGAAAGGTAAAGACACACATTGATGTGTGTTTAATAAAATCCCTGAAAATGAAAACGTACAAAGACAAAACACACATTGAGGTATCTTTAATAAAAACCTCTTGAATAGGGAAAAGCTCATAGACCAAACACACATTGAGGTGTGTTTAATAAAAACCTCTTGAATAGGGAAAAGCTCATAGACCAAACACACATTGAGGTGTGTTTAATAAAAACCTCTTGAATAGGGAAAAGCTCATACCCTGGTTTTATTTTCGAATCTACATTAGAGAAGCCTGAAATGTTTCGGTGGATTAGTAAATCGGTTGAGTTGACAACGCGAAATCCATTCGCCAACTGCTCCTTGTCTGCTTTATGGTCTGTATCGCTTCCTTTATTTATAGTTTATATTATATTTTGAATGTTTTCAACGTTTCCGGAAGTGCTACTTGGAGCCTCGTGCATAAATAACTGATTTTGGTCATTTGACTCCTGACTCTTGATGGAAATTTCCGGTCGACCTGACACTACTACTACTAATAATAATAAACAATTCAAGAAAAGAAAATATTGTGGTGATAGAGAGATGAATACATAAATAACAACAATAACAAAAATTCATCAGCTCTACATATAGAAGGATAATAAAAATCGCCAGGTAAAGCCATAATTCGACCAACTAATCAGAAAGTATTCACAATCAGCATGTAAGAAAAGAAATAAAAAAAATAATAACAAGGTGATCAAAATTTCTCAATTTCTAAAAATAGATCGACTAACCAATCAGAAAGTTTTCACAAACAGGATATAATGGAAAACAAGCAGATTTTAAATGCCGATTTATAGATGTGTATATAAACAGATGGGAAATCAACCAAGTCGATCAATTAATTTTGTCCATTCTCGATGCTGTGGTTGTTGCAACATACCCAGGGACGAAATATATTTGCACGACTAGCTGGCGAATCTTACACAGCTAACCCGCCCTTGCTACATTGAAAGCAACGTATCTTCCTTCACCATGTGGTTAAGCGGTAGTTATTACATTTGGATACATACATATATATATATATATTTACTTCCTCCAGGACTTTTTCTCTCTTGCTATCACTCTTATGCGCCTGGACTTTTACACTTGAACTCTTGAAACTTCAACTTTCACCTTATCCTTCTATATTGTGTTATATAAAGATTTATTTTGTACTAGCAGTAGAGCCCGGGGATGTAACAGTAAGAGATAGATCAAGTATCGACCATCATAAAGACTGAAAAATAAAATTGACAAAGATTATTGTTTAAGGTTGACGGACACGCATGTCTTAATTAGTTTTTTTTTTTTTTTACGAATTGGTTAAACCCAAACTCAAACAAAAACATTGTTTTCAATTGTTATGAGTCTACCGATTGAATAGAATTTTATTATAAACAATTGTCTTGTAAATGGAATTTTTAAAGCATTCTGAATGTAAACATAAAGAAAAAAGTGTGCAAGACAATAAGAAACACAACCTGACAAAAAAGTGAAGTTTTGTTGAAATCGGTTGAAAAATGTAGGAAATCCGATCCCATATATAAACGAACACAAACACACACTCACAAATAACCTGGGTTTTATAATAAGTATAACTCGATATGAGTTGTCCCCCTTTCATTGTCGACAGCAATGCCTCTTAATCGTGTTTTCAAATTGATTTCGTGCACAAACAATTGTGTTTTTCCACTTTTTGGCGCTGTCAGAACCACCACAAGGTAATTTTACGTAGTCCTGTGAAGTTTTGTTGAAATCGGTTGAAAAATGTAGGAAATCCGATTCAATATATAAACGAAACACACACACACACACACACACACACTCACACAACCTGGGTTTTATAATAAGTATGATTTCTCGACACTTTGTGCATTTTCACTAATCTGTAGTGGACCGTGGCGGTGGTGAGTATGTAAAACACACGTGAGTTAAGATTTCCTGCTAGCCGGTCCAACTACATGAGAAAGTTGAACTTTTCTTAAGTCCAAAGAAAACAAAAAAGAACAAACAAGACCGATAAATATATGTAAACAAATATATGTATTAACAACAAGTACAAGTTACAAGTACATGGACAGTTACATTGAGTGCGTGTGGTGAATATTATATGTGTGTGTATTGTGGTGAGTGTTCGTACGTACGTGTATTGTTCTTAGCGTGTTCCCAGAATTTGGGAAACGTTGTATCTGTGAGAGATCACATATTGTTGTTAGCTGAAAAGAGATTTACCTCAAGGTGGCGGCCCAAAGGCCTGAGGGAAAAAGAGGTCGAGGCGAAGGGTCACCCAGTATTTATAGCCAGGGTAAAGAGACCCCCGGTGAAGGGTTAAGGAGCTGAGGAGGAGCTAACTCCGACAAATCAGTATACAAAGCCAATATATACCTAAAACAAATGCACCTTATATATGGAGATAAATTGCTATTAGAAAATGGGGAGGATAGAGTGATGGGCTACATGGCTGGCTGAAATTAAGAAGACGACCTACTGGAGGGAGAAATCTCTTCTGGCAGCAAAGACCTTTGTAGTGATAGAAAATAAAAGTAAACACATAACAACGTGACCAAAATTTAACCATCTCTAAAAATAGATGTATATTCAGTATCGCTAGGCCATGAAATTATATTTCGATATGCTCATCAGAAACCGCCCCGACCAAAATACGAACATCATAATTTATCGAACGAATCAGAAACAAGATCTATTCCCAAATCTATTCAGCCGTCACTGATCGTGGACCGACCAGAAGCGAAGCGGTTCTCTAGATATGTAATATATATAACAAGATGGAAATCAACCTAAAACACGGTAATTGTAACGTAACCAGAGCCGAAATACGATATTTGTACGTGACTCACACAGTATTGAATAAACACATAGAATACCTAACTTTTACCACTTATACCAGCGACTAAGACGACCACACAATTGTGCGTTGTCACGAAAACATACATACATACATACATCCTTCACCTATTTTTAAACAAGGCGACCGCTACATTTGTAAAGTGGCCATGGTTAAATGTAAATGACAGAACTGCCCAACAAAAAGAACTGACAAAGTTTTCAATAAACAATAACAAGCAAAGAAAAGAACAGGCAAAACATAATGTTGAGCACAAAAATTATATATGGAAGACAAAGCTACAATAATGAAGCAAAAAGTTCACAAATTAAGAATTGGTGTTGACACACAAGAGCGAATTCGATTAAATGAACGTAGCATTCTGGCTTTAAGGCAAAACAGACCGGGACTGAGTCAGATGAAACCGAGAAGTGGCCTATATTATTGGCTAGGAAGATAGCCCAGCATGCATTTATGTGCTTCTGCCTATAAAATGGAGAGGAGAAAGTATTTTGCAATATATATATATATATATACATATATACTAGAAAGAATTAATTATGAACTTAGGAAGAAATTAGGAGTAAACCAGTGGGAAAATACGAAAACAACTATTGACTGGTTCCACAACATAAATAACAAACAAAATTGCCAATTCCTACAATTAGACATAAAAGAATTTTACCCATCCATAACAGAACGTATGCTAGATAAGGCCATCAACTTAGCTCAAGAACAAATAATAATAAAACCAAGCGAAATCAACATCATTAAGCACTCCTGTAAATCATTATTATTCCACAATGAAGAAGAAGCATGGATAAAGAAAGATGGGATATTTGACACTACAATGGGAAGCTTTGACGGTGCAGAGGCATGCGAAATCATAGGCATTTACTTACTACACGAACTGAGCAAAATAATAGATAAAAATGACACAGGACTCTACAGGGACGACGGTCTCATAATCTTAAGAAACTGTAACAAACAAAACACAGAGAAAACTAGAAAAGCAATAATAAAGATTTTTAAAAATAACGGATTCGACATAGATATAAAAACTAACCTAAACGAAGTAGATTTCCTAGATGTTACCTTCAACCTAAGAGAAGGCACATATAAACCATACAGAAAACTTAATGATAAACCACTCTACATACACACATCTTCCAACCATCCGCCTTCTATAATCAAACAGATACCAAAATCGATTAACCGCAGGCTCTCCGACAATTTCTGCAATGAATCCCTATTTAACAAAGCTAAGAAAGACTATGAAACGGCCCTAAAAGATAGCGGATTCCCAGCAATACTCACATACTCACCACA